TGCCGGTGTGGGCGGGGAGGAGAGGGGGGAGGGGGGAGGGGGAGGGGGAATGGGGGGGCGTCTGGGAGAAAGTGAAGGGGGAATCCGGTGGGTGTGCTGAATTGAGGAGGGCTTGAACCGGCAGGCGGAGGAGGAGGAGGAAGAGGAGGAGGAGGCCTTCCTCCTCTGTCACACCCATCCGCCTTCCTCCCCTGTCACACCCATCCCAATCGCGCACCCATCTCTCCCCCACCACCACCCGCCGTGTGCCCTTCCGGGAACGCCCCCACATGCACTTACACATATACACACACGGTCATGCACGTATATACATGCATATACGCATACACACACAGGCTGGTGGCCCGGCTCCCGGACAGTCCCTCCAAAGCTGAGGAGTACTCGGGGCTCGGCATGGCGCGGGAGGCAGCCGAGGTGGCGGCGAGGATTCGGGTGAGGGTTGTGCCTCATATAAGTGGGGCCGGGGGGGAAGGGGGTCGAGCTTAGTTCGAAATAGGTTTGCGGGGGAGGTAAGAAGGCGGCCAACTGCCAGCCGCGTTGGAGTGGTACAGCATGCCGTACTGGGCCGTGGGGAGGAGGGCCATCTCCTCCCAGGGAAGCTTTGTGTCGGTGGAAACCTTTCCACAACAGCGGTCGGTGAACAGAGTTGTGGTTTTTGTGAGTTTGCTAATGGGCTTTTGACCGTTTCTGCGACGCTGCTGCCGCGTCCACCCCCCCTTCCGCCGGTCTACCTTGTTCTGCACCTCGAGTACTGCTGCACCCTCTTCAGCGCCCAACCCCCCCACCCCCACCTTTATCGCTCGCTGCTCATAACTTTCCCACCTCTCTGCCTCGCATGTGCCTTTGCCCGCTGCTTCTGCTGCCTGGCCAGGTGAGTCCGAAGGAGTTTGAGTTTTGTCGGTTTATCGCGTTGCGTCGGTCGGGTAGCCGGAGTAGGATAGTCGGGTCGGTCGGGTTGGTCGCGCATTTTTTTGGGGGCTTGGGAGGAGCACTTGCATATCACCATCTTCTTATTACCAGCCAATCAGCCAGTTCTTGGCCAAACCTCGTCAATGCCGCCGCCAGGCCGGCGGCAAACTTTATTCCGGCTTCACGTCAGCAGTTTTTTACTACTTTTCCGCCGTCTCTACACCTACCTTTACTTCTTTACGGCTTGGCATTACTGCTTTTCCTCTGCGCTTAGTTTAGTCTTGGCGGCTAGGTAGGTAGTTTTCCGACATCATCATCACTACACCATCCCGAGGTCGCCGCCTTCAGGAACGCTTTTTGGTCAGTTCTGCTTCTTGTACACTCTTTCCTTGGCAGCAGCTTCACTCGTTCGTGGCTCGTCTTTCCCCTCCCCTCCCCACCGCCTAACACTTTCCCTCCCTCTGCCCCTGTTGCCGGATGACCCACTCGGCCGCCGTCGCCACCATGCATGCGTGTGGGGTGTGGGGTTGGGTGCGTACGTGGATGGCTCTGGGCTGTCGGTTGCATGCTTGGCACGTGACAACCCACAACGAACCAACCAACAACTAACCAACTAATACCGCAGGATTCCGACCTCTTTGCTCGTATCCAGTCGGCAGTGGCTGCGGGCAGTCCCGCGGGTTTGGCCATCGCACAAATCAAGGAACGGTTCCAATCTACATTTCGGTGAGAGCCACCAAGTAACCGCCATAACCGCCACCATAACCACATAACCGCCACCCGCTGCTGATGACCTGTGCACATGTGGAATGAACCTCCCTTTGATTTGACGGTGTCCGGGCAGGGGTGAGATGGGCCCAACCTCGACATGCCGTGGTGTTTGTGTGTTTGTATGTGTGTGTGTGTATGTGTGTGTGTGTGTGTGTGCAGTTGTAGATGGCCGTCGCAGGAGGGGCCATAGGGCTAAGAAAGGGGCGGAGGTGCTTGTGGGCGTGTGGATGTCCGTGCGGGTGTGGGTGTGGGTATGAATATGGGTGTGCGTATGTGACTTCGCCTCGGGCCCTATGCGATGGGGGACCTGGGAACGAGTTGGAGGACGCTCTGAGGCGGCATGGAGGGTTGCGTGTCCATTTTGGCTTGCCAGGGAATACAAGGGTTATCTCCGCGCAGTGCTGGTGACCTAATCAGTCTTGTAAGGAACAAACGGATCGGCATACGCTTGGTCCTTATGTGATGTACAGTATTGTGGGGTATAGGATGTGGGAAGCATATCGGTGATGTGGTTGCGTGCCGATGGCCATGGTAAATTGTACGATGATCAAGGCAAGGCGCCTCTTCGGCCTGCCAAACTCCAAACGGTATCATCATACGGAATGTTCACATTCGTCTGCCTTGCGAGATAAGTTGCGCGTCAGGTTGTAGTATCTGGAAGGAGTTTTAAGTACTTCACCTACTGGATAAGGTGGTTTAGAAACTCTATCGGCCGACTGAATTGCGACTGACATGTATCTAGCGAAACCTTTAGTATTGCGTCGATGCACCACAGAACAGTTCCTCACATCTCGATACACGTTTTGCCGTGCATGTATCTCTGCAGGACTCAAAACTGCCAGCGCACGTGCCGACTTAAACAACGAAACAGTGACACTCTACGTGCACGTCCTTAGGAATCAACTGCAAACATTTGCTACTTCCAAAGGGTTTAGTAACCAGAGAGTTTTGGAGCGGTACCAAAACTATCCGTGCAGCACTGTCGTGAATTGTTGCACGACGGTACGCTTCGGGAATATCTTCCTCCTCCCACCTTCAAGCTCCATCAGGTCCACGTAGTCTGTCTTGTGCTGCGCTATAACTTGATCATGGCTAGTCAGTCGAGTGCATCGTTGCTGAAGTGGGCACAGGCCGCCTCGCGCGGCTTTGCTGCCGCTGCGGCCAGCGGCCCCGGCCGCAAGGTGGCAGTGCTTGGTGCTGCTGGCGGCATCGGACAGCCCCTGTCGATGCTCATGAAGGTCCGTCTCCCCGCCAAAGTTCGACTTTCGGACGCTTCCGGTGATTGCCTAACGCAAAAACGTCCAACCTCGCGCAGATGAACGCCCAAGTTTCTCAGCTGTCGCTCTACGATGTTATTGGGACGCCTGGTGTGGCTGCTGACGTGAGCCACATTAACACGAAGGCTCAGGCGAAGGTCAGAGTCGTTGGTGATTCTTTCTGGGCCGATTATGGGCCCGTGCAGGCTTAAAACTCCCTCTTTTCTATTGATCTACATAGGGCTTTGACAAGGATGGCCTGGCCGAGGCGCTCCGTGGGTGTGACCTGGTTATCATTCCTGCTGGTGTGCCACGCAAGCCCGGCATGACCCGCGATGATCTCTTCAAGGTGCGTTTTTGTGAAATGTATCCGTATCTTATACCGGCATGCTCTGTTCTTTGCATTAATCGCAATAACACACCTGACTTTGTTCGCAATAGATCAACGCTGGCATCGTTCGCGACTTGGTGGAGGCCGTTGGCAAGCATTGCCCCGGAGCACTTCTGAACATTATCTCGAACCCGGTCAACTCTACAGTACCAATCGCTGCTGAGCAGCTGAAGAAGATGGGTGTGTACGACAAGCGGAAGGTCATGGGCGTGACCACCCTAGACGTGGTCCGCGCAAAGACATTCTATGCGGAGAAGAATGGTCTGGATGTCGCTTCAGTGGACGTGCCCGTAGTTGGCGGCCACGCTGGCGTCACTATCTTGCCGCTGTTCTCGCAGGTGCGTGCACCGACCTCCATGTTTATTTGCTCTTGCCTGCGGCACAGCTATTACTGTTTGGCGTTGCTCTCGTGTACGGTGTACCCATCCGCGTCCCGTTCTTTCTGCTATGGCAGGCCACCCCGAAAGTCAACATGCCTCACGACGTGTTGGATGCCCTAACCAAGCGCACTCAGGACGGTGGCACTGAGGTGGTGCAGGCCAAGGCCGGCAAGGTGGGATCGGGGCATGTTTGTGCTGTACGCGGGCGGGCTGTCGATGAATGAGCTGTTCTCGCGCGTATCTCGTACACACAACCATTGGAAAGGAATTATGTGTTTAGGTTCTACCTCGTACCTAGTCAGTTCTAGCGGCTCACTACCAATGCAGCGTCCGCTTATTTGTACGGGCTCTTGACACCACGCTTATAATGGACATCCGATTGAAAGATCAAGCTACAATTTCAATAGGGAAATCCTAAAACTACTACGCAGCTTGCATCCGTAAAAGTTATTCCATCGGCGGTTACTTTGTTGCGGCTCAAACCATTAAAACACACAATCTTCGTTCATCACACCTACGTGCTCCCGCTGGTCTCACATATGCTATCCTGCGTCAACTCTCCAGGGCTCTGCAACGCTTTCAATGGCCTACGCTGCTGCTCTGTTCGCGGACTCCTGCTTGCGGGGCCTAAATGGCACCCCCGCTGTGGAGTGCACTTACGTGGAGAGCAGCATCACGGACGCGCCCTACTTCGCCTCGAAGGTCAAGCTCAGCACGGAGGGTGAGTGCAGTGTTTCACATCTGCGTGTCGCTTTATCTCTTAATGCGGGCGTAAAGGGCTGTGATGGGTGAAGTTTATTGCGTAATGGCTGTGAGATTTGATCTTATGTGTCAGTTGCTGCGCCACTGCTTTGGGACCCAATTTCATATTACAATATTTTACTCGACTGATGTTCTCGCCTTGTTTTACGCAATGTAGGTGTGGACAAGGTGTTTGAGTTGGGCGCTTTATCCGACTACGAGAAGGAGGGGCTCAAGGCCATGATGCCCGAGTTGCTGGCGTCCATTGAGAAGGGCGTCGAGTTCATTAAGTCGGGTTAGATGCAGCCGAGCAGGAGCAGCTGTCGATAGGTGTCGGCAGCTGATGGGGTCCTCGGATCCCGCAGTTGAAGCTGGATTACCTCTGCCTTGCGCCCGGCGGGAGCGGCGACGGGGTCGTTAAGCAATGGCCGGCCCTTCACTCTCTTAACTACAGTTTGGCTCGGAGGTCCCATTTTTCCCTGAAGATCTGACCCAAGGCATTGGCCTTCTCGGGAGAAGAGGGGATTGTGGTCGTTCTGGGGCTTAGGATTATACAAAATAGTCAATGGCTCGGCCGTTTAGTGTGCCTCCGCTGGCGGCTGTGTTTTTGCCTCTCTGGCCGTATCGGTTTGAACTAGCCGGCGATTTCGGGCACACTACATGGCTAGCAGCACTTGTTGTCGAAAACTCTGTTCTTGCGATATTGGTACTCTTATTTATGCCGGAGTACCAATGGTGATTCATAGGTGTACAATGTGCAAAGCAGCGAGTCGGCAAATGACCATGGCAGTCGTGAAAACCGGCTGGTGTGGCATTTACATACGGCTGCTGGTGTAAAAAATGTGCAAGGGAGTTCCTTAGACAATCTATCGCAAGTACCCCCGTAGGAAATAGGAGTTATAGAAAAATGTTACAGGAAAACCATTAGTGTATACGACGTCGCTTATCAAACCTGCTGTTCAACTGCGTGCTATTTAATTATCTAAAGGACTTAAGCACCCCCTCCAGCGGGCACACAGCCTGGCGAGGCTTATAGAGGATATGTTAAGATGGGCGAGTCAGAATTAAGATGAAAATCGTTCCATTGGAAATCCTTATAAGCGGCTAGGCTTTCTCGTTGCTTTGCTCTGGAATGTGCATCTTCAGAGTTTGTGGTACAAGCGCTGTCATCCGCCATCTGCCTACTATTACATGTTAGTGATTTCATTCGCAAGTTCCCTGCGCCTACGATCGTATCGATATATGAGACAAAGCTCGTGCATATGGCAATTTTTGTTGCTTTTAGAAGTTTCACATTTACACTGCGATATGATTAACATGTTCGTAGTCACACACATATATATCGTAGCCTACTCAGGACTCGCCTGATGGCACGCGTGACGCAGTACTATTACCATCATAACGAAAACGAAAAGCCTCCGAAACACAGGGAACATACACATATGTGACAGCATGCAACACTCAAGGCTTCAAAATTGTGGAGACCACCTCGCACGGCGCCCTCGCTGATAGCATCTCCTCCTCCTGCTTTCTTCATATACCCTCCGTTCCCCCGGGTGGTGGATAGGTAGCTCGGTATAGCTCGTCCTCACTCGTCTACCGAGTCAGCACTTCCCCAACCATCACAGGACAGGCGCTGTACTGTCATATCGACAGCATACATACACCCACAGCATCGCAGATCCACATCATATGACACGAATCAACCGCCCACGGCTCTCCTTTGAAGACCCCCTCTCAAACAAAAACAGTAACACGTCGTACAAACTCCCATTCTCCAAAACTCAAGTTGTAGGGGCCCCCTTCCGTACTGCTCGAATGCCTCTTTCCCAGCTGAGCTGAGCGGCAGCCACCCCGCCAGCGGTTACACAAGAGCCCAATCGCTTCAGGCCCGAATCGCCACACATCCAAAACCACATCACCATCAACGCCATTATCATCATCATCATAGTCAATACATGCCGATTTCATGCCTAAGCCCTGGAACGGAGCCCCAGAACTCTCTCATCGACCATCGTTCAAGTTGTATAAGTGGCCTCGAGGCCGCGACCGCGACTTCAGGCAATTCGTTAAGGCCCTGATCCCTCCTGGCGAGCGGGTCTTCCTGACCCCGCGAACGACTGCCGCCGGCGCAGCGGCTCCCGTGCACCAACAGCGCGAGTAACGGCCTTTCGCAGGTGTGAAAAGGCCACGCACTTACATCCCTCTCCCTCATGCTTAGGAAATCTTCATCGTAACATTTAAAAATGCTGACGATGTTCGTGAAAATAGCTCGCGGATAGTTCACTTGACGCGGAAGACGTACTCGGCCTCCTGCTCCTGCTTAGTGAGCAGTTTCTCGGTGCGCAGCATCCATTCGATCTTTGAGCCCTTGGCCAGGTCCATGGCGGCAGGGAGGGCCTCCGGGTCGGACAGCAGCTCTTGGAGGTCCAGGGGAGCCGCAGCACCGTGGGAGGCGCCGTTGCTGCTGCCCGGCTCCGAAGCCACCAACGCCCTTGCATCAACGCCGTGGGAGGCCAAGTATAAGTGCTAAGTAACGTGGCGACGGCTTAAGCAGCTCGAAAACAAAATCAATATTGATACGGACCAAGTTGATGACGAAGAAGTAATCATACAACCTGGGAATGATCAAAAGGACTAATGGCATATTCATCTACGTTATCCCCCCAGACCCAGACTCACACGCCCACTTCGAGGAAGAAATCAGTCGGTATTTATAGAAGTACAGTACTCACCCGTTCATCGTTCCAGACGCCCCCCCTCCGCAACCCTCCCAACTTTAAAACTCTACCTGAAGCTGTTGACCAGCTCGCGGTACGACACGGCTGCCGAGTCGGAAGCCACCATGAGCTGCTCGCTCTTCCCGTTGCCGTTACCGTTGCGACCCCACTGCGCCCACCGCCGCCGGACCTGACAGACATTTCGACAGGAGCACACCCGGGGACATATAGATTGACAAACGCAAAGCAAGGCCAGGTGAGATCGCAGAAATGGGCAGGTCAACATCACCCCCGGTTGGGAGGAGGAGAAAGATCACCGGCATTGAAGGTCCCCCCAATTTCTCCCCCCAACACTATTAGAACCACAGAGCCTCCCTGTCGTCGGGTGGCAGACTGACAAACCGACGCGACAAGAGACGATGGCCTTCATCATCTCGGTTGGTGGATAAGCCCATTTGGGAATCAGAACGGCCCTGGGCCTTCTCCTTGCCTCCCACTGCCGCCGTAATGACCTCACCCTCTGCCCCTTCCCCTACCCCGCCACTAAACTGCCAACATGCACAACGCGAGTGTTTGGTCGCCGGTCCACCTCCGCAACTTGCTCACAGCTGTTCCCGCCTAATCGCCATTTCGCTTCTACGGCCCGCGCACGCCCCCACACACCAGAATGCACGCTTGGCAGTCCCACAGCTCCAAAAAACACTAATTAATGCCGTCGCCACACCCCTGTCCCCGTTATCCCGTGTTCATTTCCCGTACATATCCGAGTCCCAGACACACAGCCCTGACGACCATCCCGTGTCAGTGGCAACACCCTGACCCCCCCCCCAATAACCCCGCTGCTGACCCTCAATCCAAAAGGAAAACCCACGAGGCGGATCGCGGGGTCTCCCGGCCCACCTTCTCCTCTGTCGTGAGGAACGTGCCCTGCTGTACACCGTACGGGATAGTGCCGCGGCGCTTGTACGGCGCAGCCCTGTAGAAGTCAATGATCTCGTACAGCGCCCCCTTGAGGAAGGACCTCGGCACCACCAGGTCCAGCAGGCCGTGCTCCAGGAGGTATTCGGCGGTCTAAGAGGATCAGTCATAACACGGCCATTTGGGAGGTGAGGGCGAGTGAGCATGACGGAACGGGACAGAAGCTCATGAAAGGGCACATGAGTCCCTTTCTGATAGCGGTTGGGATGGCGGTGGGCGGTTGCGAGAGGGAATCACCAAACCGGGATTCGCAACACAGCAGCACACGGGGGAGAGCTGTTTGCCGCAGCCGCCTTTGTCGGGCAGTGAAGCCAACGAGCCCTTTCCTGACCCGAGCTTATTGCCTGAAACCCTCTTCCTCCCCGCTGCTCCGCCGCCAGAGCACCATAGCTGGGCAGCCCCCCCTCGACCTCCCCCCGCCCTCCTCCTCCTCGACCTCCCCCCGCCCTCCTCCTCCTCGACCGTCCCCAGCCCCTCCTCCCCGAGGCCGCACGGCCCCCGCCCCGGGCGGCGATGCGAGAAGCCGCACCAAGGAGCCTCACAGCAGATACGTCCCCGCAGAAGAAGGCCGGGGGGTAAATAAATCCCGGGGCTACGAACCGCAGGAGCCCACAGCGGAACCCGTACCAGGTCCTCTCCTGCAACCAACGAAGCTACCCGCGTCCCCATCCCTCGGCTCGCCCCCACCCAGCTGCGGATGACCCGCCAGTACTCAAAACCCCCCCACAGCTCATCAGATACTGTGGTGCACTGATATAGTGGCGCAGTCACGATGCTCACCATCCCTACCCCGAGAGCCCCCACACCAACCTCCATACCGCAAGGGGGGAAGGCGGTGGTGGTGGGGTAAATCATGTACCGCATGAGTCAACGCGCCGACTGCTTGCATGTAGACGGGGGAATGAGCCCGCAGTCCAGCAGTCCGCATCACTACAGGACCTTGCGCCCCCGCTGGGAGCCCCCTCCTCACCTGCCCACCTCCCCACCCGCCCGGATGGCTCACTTAGCTCACTGGACCCCTCCTGGACCACCCACCTGGAAGTCGTCGGGCAACTGCTCCTGCAGAGTCTGCTCGATAACTCGGCGACCTGCGAAACCGATGATGGCCTGCAAAGCGATCGGCAAGTTGGGGAGGGCGGGACGGGAAAAGAGGGCATCACGGCAGAAAGCAACATATTCATCATAAGGATTGAGCCACAGGAAAGGGGAGAGGACTGCAATTCGCAGAGACAGAAATTGCTCCGCGCGCGGCCAGGGCGCGCCTGATCTGACGATGGTCGCGTATCCGGACTGAACGGCTGCTCCCTTCAACCAAGCCACCACCCTAAGGATTCCAACTTTCCTCCGTATTTGTAACAGATAATCTAAGGGAGATTGTCCATTGTCCACCCGCGCGACCCGTGTTGCCCGAGGCCGCCGAGCGCACACCAGTGCCAGAGCGTCACATAATCATATCCGCTGCAAAGACCCCTCGTCATGTACCTCAACTTCCTCCCTTCGCCATCACCTAACTGCTCCTGCCGTTCGCCAACGAACCCCCAATACAAGGCTTTGCGCATCATCGCCCGCGACCTCATCACGCACGTACCTGTGGCTCGGCAATGATGACGTCACCCAACATGCCAAATGACGCAGTGACGCCGCCAGTGGTGGGGGAGGTGAGGATGGCAATGTACAGCAAGTTGGCGCAGGTTTGGTGCACGTGCAGCGCGGCGCTGATCTTGGCCATCTGCATGAGCGAGAAAATACCCTCCTGCATGCGCGCGCCGCCTGAGGTGCACACGATGATAACGGGCATGCCCTCCTGCGTCGCGTATTCGATCAGGCGAGTGAGCTTCTCGCCCACCACGGAGCCCATGGAGCCGCCCATGTAGGTGAAGTCCATGACGCCCAGCGCCACCGGAATGCCGTGCAGGAGTCCCGTACCAGTGCGAACTCCGTCCTGCAGACCGGTCTTCTCCTGTGCCTCCTTGATGCGGTCCGTGTACGGCTTTAGGTCGGTGAACTCCAGAGGATCGACGGGGGAGAGGGTTTCGTCTAGGGCGCGCCAGGTGCCGGCATCGATGAGGTGGTTGATGCGCTCCTGAGAGGACATCTTCAAGTGGTAGTTGCAGCCGAAGCAGATATGGTGGTGCTCCTTCAGATGCTTGATGTAAAGGATGGTGCCGCACTTATCGCAACGGGTCCAGAGGCCCTTGCTGCGATCAACAGCCTTGGAGCCCTTGGAGCCATCAGAGGCCGCGGACACCGGATCCAGCGCGGGCGACATGGACGGGTTGACTGCAATGGGGCCGCTCACGATGCCGTTCGTTTCGCCGACCTCGGCGCGGCACGAGACGCCAGCACGACCGGTAGTATGGCCAGCCACGAGCTTTGACAGCGTCGCCTGTAGCACAGGAAGCAGCGCCACATGGCGTGCAGAAGGTACACCCGAGTTAACACCTGGAGTCGACGGCATAACGCCTACAACGCCCCGAAAATCATTAAGATCTGGCAATCTATGCGCAGCAAGAGAGCATGCAAAATGTATTTCAGGAAATTATGTCATACTCTTCACACCAAGCGTTGGTAACGCTCAACCTCGGCCTTTCTGCTTGCCGCCGCAGTGCAAGGCGAACCTCCAAGCCCAAGCCCCAATTAGTTACCCACAAGCTTGGGTCCATTGCAACCGCGCTGAACGCAGCAGCTCTTAGAAGAACCCGCGCTGAGCATCGTGGCTTTGGCTGGCTCCCAATCGACTCCTGAGTGTTTGTATGCGATTGGGCGACTGTCGTTGCCGAGAACCACAATATGTTATGCACTATTGTGAAAGCGCAGCAGTCCAGACGTATAAGTTGGTAAGGAGCACTATGTAAAAGCGCTTGCTGACTGTGATTTTCGCCGACCGAAGTTTCACCCGCTCAAGATATACTGAGTGGATTATTTCGAACACCACATAATCAAGTAGTTCCGTGTTATTAATGCACCAAGTATGTTGTTTTGAAACGCCCGTCACACAGGGGCCCGATGCACCAGCCGACCGAAATGTACATGTGCCAAATTCCCTCATACGGTCGACCGTTACAAATGCATACCATATACTGATCACAATTTCGGCCTACTCCTTGCATTACTATGACAACTTGAAAATGCAGGAATGCTATCCCATGATAGCCACCTGAAATATGGGAGAGTTTGCGCGGTCGTCACTCATGTGTGTCATCTCACCATACCTGGAAAGGTGTACAAATCTAGTTGGCCACAGGACTGGCATGAGGAGAGTGACATCTGTGACCCAGGGGGCGCTTGGGAAGAGCTTTCTCCTAAGCTTCATTTAATTGTAATCAGCTTCCCACTACGCATGCCTTGCAGTGACGATACAACCCAATGCGAACAGTCCTGGTATCGTGGTATGCCACAACAGGCAGGCAGAGGGGCCAGTTGTTAGGGGTACAGTTTCCTCTCGACGGCTTAAGCTGTTCTTCCTAATATCTTGAATCGCGGGGCACTTAATTATATTTAAGCGACCCTAGGGAACTTCAAGTTTCCATACAGTATGAAATCTGATGATAGATGCTCACACCACCTCACTAGGAGCATTTCGCTACCTGTTCGGTACTCCGCACATAGCTCAGGATACGGTCTCAAAACTGTGAGCCGTACAACGCTGTATGTTGCTGGCATTTCCAAGCTTTCCAACGAAGCTCGGAAACCATTTCCGCACTCAGTCTTCAAATGTATACTTTCTTAAGACCCGGGGTAATTACCCAGTGTTGTGCGGTAGGCGCTCGTTTAGGCGTTGCACACGAGCCGGTCAGGCTCCACTGTAACGACCACTACTAATTACCCCTCCCCCCTTCTATCCCACATAGCAGGCCGTATTCATGCAGCCTCCCTTCCGAGCACAACATTCCAGCATGGCAGGATATGCGCCGGAACTGAGCCAGATACAACGAGAACTAGACACGGTATATTGTAGACTTCCAGTATTACATACAAGACCACAATATCGTTAATAGTATCCACAATTACTTCTTGGCCATCTTGCGCATCAGGCCAGCGAGCTCCTCCCGCTTTCGCTTGCCGCGGATGTGGGTGCCCAGCTGCAAAAAGCACGGAACATAGGATTCATGGAGGAAACCTAAAATAAGAGTTTTTAACTTTCAAGCAATCCATTTGCATCAGAAAACCAGTAGAAGCCCTTTTGAGACGGCAGCCGCCAAAACAGCCAGCAATTTACCTTCCGCTTGGCCACTTTCAGAGCGCGCTTATCCTTGCCGACCTTCAGCAACTCCATAATGCGCTTCTCATATGGAGCCAGGCCAGCCACCTCGCGAATCACCTCGCGAACAAACTTGACGCGCTTGGAGAGCCGCTGCAATACAGGACGCGGTAAAAACATGTTACATATCCCAAGCCTCAGCTACCTACTGGTTGATGGCTGCAAGTACACCTAAACTGCTCACCCCCTTGGTCCGGGAGGGGCGCAGGGCCTGCTCCCGCTTAGTGACCACATGCCCCTTGTTTAGGCCTACGGCCAGGCCAGAAGCCACCATGGTGATTAATATTGATGTAAGAGAGAGCTTACACCTGACCCAGTCTGAGAGTTTAGAGAGCGCCGAGGCGGCCTCCCGTACGCGTAGTACGGAAGCCTTCTGCATTTTTATTGCAGGATCAATTCTAATTCGTTTATCTTTTTCGCAGCATTTAGTTACTAATACACTTGCCTGGGCTGCCATAGCCAAACATACCAACTTGCGCCAAGAACGACTAAATAATATAGCATTCTCGTTTGATCACCCTGCTCATGTTTTAGGGGGGTTGAAGTTCTCTGCAATAAGGAGTTCGAGTCGTAGTACGCCGTGTAAGCCCGATGGACTCGGAGGCGACAGACTTTTTCGCTGCAACGTTCAGCATAGAGGAGGAGGACCATACCCTGGCAAATTCTCTCCGTTTTTTCCTTAACAAGAAGTACGTCATTTGCGTTGAGGGTTGCTTTGAGGGTTGCAGCATGGGAACCTCACTGTTGGACGATAACCCGTAACGGACAACCTCCTTATTACTATTCTCGCGTCAGTCCGCATGTGTCATTCTGCGGGTACAGCATGCCCCACCCCTCAGAAGAGCTTGTCAACTTACGCGTGCAAACCACAGGTATGATTACGTCCTGGTGAAGGTGGGGTTCCCTGGGCGGCTGGGTGGTGCCTGTTAGGGACGATGGCTCACAACCTTGTCGCTGCGTCCTTGCAGGGCAGATTACCGCCATGCAGGCCGTAAAGGCGGCCTGCGAGGACATGCAGCAAGTGTGTGATCACATGCGCTCGACGCTTAGTAAAGCTGTGGCAGAATTCCAGCAGCAGGAGCAATCACGCGAGCAAAAACGTGGATAAGCTTTTTGACGATTGACTGGTGTTGCTCTGCGGCTGTGCAGCGATCGATGCTCATGAGCAGGGTCACTAGGTCTGTCGGATTGTGCATGGTGGAATAATTGCACTGTACTGGTGTCGCCGGGTACATTGCTGCAGTCTGCGCCTTGCGGTACAAGTTTTGGATAAACGGGCTATCATTGCTTGATATAGGTGCGAAGTATATAGGGATCAAGGACTGCTCCATCATAATATCAATGCTAACTTCGGCATGCGTGGATGTGGATGCTGCTCCGGCTGCTGCGCAGCGTACAGTGGGGCTTGCAGCAGACAGATAGCCTTACAGGTCGGGTCAAACTTACAATGTCATCAGGTCCTGGCGTCTGTGGAGCATGGCCCACATAGCAACCACATAAGGATGACGAGTCTAACTTTACGCATGCGGATTGTCTGTCTTCCTAAACAGGATTTAAGACGGACACCTGCTTGACCTATGAGCAAAATGGCCATGTCCCCGGTTTGCATGTTGATGTCCGACACGGTTGACATGTCCAACGGCGTTGAGATACATGGTAGCGATCGAGTGCAACCGTAACATGCAATCCGATCCGGGCCAGCTTGCAACGTAGATGCACAAGTGGCCGTAAATATCGGATGGACCAGATTGTTAATCTGGCGATGTTCGGTGAGGATTCCAACCCTATGCACGTGACAGAATGCAACCCACGCCGATAATCCTTCACCGCCGGCAGAAATCTTAGTAATGGTATTAGGTTAAACTACTCCACTCGTGATCAACGCCCTCAGCACCCACTACACCCGGCCACATCGCCACCACAATCCAAGCCTCAACAAAAGTTTCAAAAACGTTCACGTCATAATGCAGTTGACGGTATTCAATTGCAGCCAGCTGAGTAATAGACACAACATGGCCCGAAATGCTAAGGGTTAATCACGACGTACTGACGCTCTCCGTCGGCCAATTCGGCTTCCAGCCGCCGCCATCCCCACCAAACAGTTCATTCCCTGGCGCAGCTTGCGTTGCGGAGGCTGTTCGCATTACATCTGCAGAACCCAGACCCTCCTCATCGGCCATGACCATGTCAGTACTGCTGCTTACCGGGTTCCCTGCATCCCCGTCCTCACCGGACGTATCAGCCGGCTCCGACGTGACCCCACTGCCGCCGCTACGAAGCCCAGGTTCGTCGTCATCGCTAGTCGCTAAGAGCACCTCGTCGTCATCGATATGCACGTCCTGTCCAGACGCCCCATCACCTGCACAGTGGGCCACCGTGAAGCTTTAGCAGCAAGCACATGTGAACCTTGAACAAGGGGACCAAAACCCAATGTTATTTATTCGATAGCTGCAGGATACTTCAGCACGTCTCAGCCATATCACAGGGCAAAAAACTCCCAAAACACAAACGGAGATCGAAGTAACTTCAAAACCTCCTCCGGAAAAAGTATTTGATTGCGTGAGAGCACCATCACTATTTTTTCAAAGAAACTTTCCTTTCCTGCGTGCCTTACCAATCCGCGGCCCTTGCCCGTGAGACGTCGAGGCATCCGTATCCTCCATTGGCGCCGTGCCCCCAAGCTCGGGATCACGTAGGTTCATGCCGCTGAGTGCTTCACTAAGGTCGGCATTGGCTACATCGTCAACACCGCTACCCGCCTTGTCCATGCCATTGCCACCGCTGGCGGCAGCATCGAACATTGATGTGCCCTTGTATCCGGCATCGTCATCATCCTCATCTTCGTCCTCATCACCCTCGTCCACGACATTGTAACGGTGGTAGAGCGCTGGCTGCATGCCCTGAATTTCGCCTAAGTCCATGTCATTCTGTAGGAAAATGTATTCAGGAGTAACACATAGTTGGTCTTATCCAAGAACTGTAGTCAGTACGAAGAACGCCCAGTTAACAGCAGACGTAGCGAAACCTAAGCAACACAAATCAATCCCTTCGAAATAGGGTAATGCGTTCCAAACAGGCAATGCGTGCAACTTAAAAATTGTTGAAACTGCAAAACCTGCTGCTAAGCAGGGAAAATAGTAATCAGGAAAGCCAATGCCTCAGGATATCCCAATCTCATGTACAAATTAATGTCGCCCATGAACACCTAAATAATCCACACCCATATCTGACCACCACAGGGCAGTCAATAAGCCTAGACGTCAGCTCCACCTAAGCGACAACTGTAAAGCGACATACCTGGTACTCGTCGCCGTCGCTATCTATCCCTGCCAGGTCCGTGGCCGCTGGCCTCCCGCACTGCCACTTGGAGACGTTCTCCACCTCCTGCCGCGGGTGCAACTCCTTGGCCAGCCACTGCTGCCATCCTGCATGAGCCGACAGGTAGGCTTCCACCGCCACCTTGTTGACCGATTCCGGCGCTACGACACCCGCGCAGGCGTTAGCGACGCCCTCCAGCGTGCTCCCGATCTGAATAACGTGCCCGAGATATCCAGCGCGCAGCACGGGTTTGCTGGCAACAAGTGCTTCAAAGCCCGGCCGAGGCGCTGGCCGCACTTCCGTTGGCAGCGTGGTTATCCAGTCCAAGATTTTGCAGTGCTCGAACAGGTAAGGGATGAGGTTCTCTGACGGCTGAGCCACACCAGCTACCAGCATGGCTGTCACATTATGATGCAATAGGTTATTGAAAGGATAGTTGCGGAATAAGTCTAAGCACACGGGGACGCTGTTGCTTGCAATCAGTCCCCTCTCCGCCACCACATCGCCGCTGCGAAGGAGCACTGCCATCAGCTCCACAACTTTGAGCTTCGCTCGCCCCAGCGGCGGCGAGAGCAACCCGTACGGCGTGTCAAGGGTTGCTGCGGGATCCTGCTGCAACAGCGCAACCAGACTGGGTAAGTGATTCACAATGGCGGCTACTGCCTCCGACTTTGCCCGGCGCGCTGACTCCTGGAACGGTGAGCCATCCGTCAACAACTCGGGATTGCTGCGCTTTGGTTCGAGTAGGGCAATGCAAACGTCCAGCGCCGACACCAGCACTTGTCGCCCGGGCTGCAATGCATGCTGGAACAGCGCCCCAATACACTCATCCCGTGTAAGCTTCGCGGCCAACGGAGATGGTTGTGTATGTGCAATCGCCGAAAGAATGTCGGCTGCGTTAGTTTGCACTTCGACTGAGTGGCTAGACCCCAAGCGGTTCAAAAGTAGGTTGACCAAGGGTGTATCCGCCAGCCACTGTGCGTATGTTGGCATGAACATAATGCTGGACTGGTCGTCCGCGCCAACAAGGCGCTTGACGATTTCAGCGACGGATGTGGTGTCTACGTGGTTCACGAGCAGCTCCAGCATGCGTGGGTTGTCCTGCCCGGGGAGCAACGGAAGAGAGAGACAAGGGCTCACCAAAGTACACGACGAAGGAGCAAGGCACGCGGCTTAGCTGTATTAGCTATCAGGAGCCGGTTACCTGTAAGTACTGCATCATCTCGTTGGTCTTGCGGAGGAGCAGGTGCGAGACAACGCGCCCGAAGTAGCCTGCCGTCTTGCAAGATAGGGGCGGGTCCGCGTCAAGGAGGGAGAAAAGTAACCGCATTAGGTCGGCATCCTCCAGTAGCGTATTAAAGACCGCCTCCACCTCGCAACAGAAAACCTCGCAGGACGTAAACGGATACCTGCACCAGTGCAGTAACAAAGCTGTTATAGCTGATGCACGGGGACCAAGCCAACTTGTACTAGACGAAATGCACTCACTTGTACGTCCGCTTGGGATCATCCAGCTCCCCGGGCGGCTCAACAATGTACCTGCGCACCAGGCCCCATTCGAGTATAATAGCCAGTAAACAGCGGCGACTATTGCAAACATCATTCATACTTGATGAGCTGCTCCACTGTGCTCCGTTCTCGCAGGCTGCAGAGCAGTAATGGCAAAGTAAGAGCGTGTCGGGGGAGAAAGGGAAGATCGACAGCAATCCAAGGCCCGACCCGTTACCTACAAGGCTACAAGCCGGCCATTTAAGGACTTGCACTCCTGCACCAAGTCGTCCTCCTCCAACAGCTCCTCAAGGGTGAACTCCTCCTTATCAAGGATTTGCTGCACGCGGTTGTTGCCCCGGCCGTGTCTTCAACCTCCAGCACACAACAGTTAACATATGTTCATGTCTATCTTTGCCATAAAACACACCTCGACAGGAGATGGCTGTGTGAAACCGGTGACCTTCCAAAACATTTTTCCTTACTCCCCTGGCGGCTACTTTGAACACTTTACCCTATGAATGACCACGAAAGCCTATCATTGCCCGGCATGATGGCGGTAGGCCTTGGCTTCGCCAAATTGCCGGGCAACCTGAAGCGAGAACGGTACTGACGTTCAGTCCAACTACCAAATGGGCTACCAGAATCTTGTACGTTGTATAAGTCTTCAACTGTTTACTACAAAACGTATGTGTCCTTCATACAAGGAACGAACCAGTGGAAAACTGCTCGGACACCAGAGGTGTACGATAACAATCTGCTTGCTCGATCTGAACATGAGTCGCTGTGAGTCTGTAATGGTCTATTAGAGGTCCCTGAACCTCATCCAGATTGTCAATTTGACACGCTCCACACGCTGCCGCTTCTGGCTTCTGTCGCCGAGTGACACCTTACCAGCCTTCCACACCTTGAACGCACCTAGATTTGCGCGACTGAGCCGAAGCCAACAATTACGTGTGTATAGGCAAATGCAGCTGCAGCTCCCAGCGCGTCAGGCCGGCTGTTCGGCGCGGCGGTACGTGTCCTCTTGCGACAAGGCGCTCTCAGACACCAGCGCTTACATACTCAATTGCTAATTTGCACTCAGGCGAGGCCATGTTGCCAGGTCGTTTGGTCCAAAGCCATCACCGTGTCAGTTTCTTAAGGTGCGACCCACATCACTTCCTGATGCACGGGGATGTTACCCGTATTTCAATTTGATACGTGGCATACATGCTCACAATTCCACCTGAAGGTTTCTCCGGTGCCAAGGGTTGTGGTCCGAGTTGCGACCGCGACGGCTGAGCAGGTCGAGGTGAAGCCTGGTGAGCATGCGGCGGCCGTTCTATTGCGCGCAAAGATCTTTTGAACCAATCTGGTTCATTCTATCTGAAGGACCGTTTTTGACCTTATATCGCCTGTTCCGGGAGCGTAGCAGGGTCGTTCGATTTCAACCAGTACATGGTGGACCGTGCAAAGCTGGTGAACAAAGCCCTTGACGAAGCCGTGCCACAAAAGTACCCTGATACGTTATACGAGAGTATGCGGTGAGTATTCCTCATTCTTGCTTCATTTACTGCGCATGAAGCCCTACCGTAACGCGACCCATTGTCTTCAACTCTTAACGGTAGATGTACTTGAGGTTGCAGGTACTCACTGCTTGCTGGCGGAAAGCGGGTGCGCCCAGCGCTGTGCCTGGCGGCCTGCGAACTTATTGGTGGTAAGTCGTCACAGGTGTCGATAACGCGCCAAACAGGATGGTGACTGTTACTGTGGCACCTGACCATTGTGCAAGCTGACTACCTCCAATGCGGATGGTAAAATACAAAACGTTTAGCGACAGGGTCTGGGGTTATAAAACGTTACAAGGCATTTTGCCGTCTGATAGTTTGAAACGGACTCCCGTGCTTCTTGGCATTCCTGGCACGTGCACTGAATCCCCCTGCGGCCTCGTTTCTCTTTGAGGTGCCGGGCAAGACACACCTCTTGACCTCAACCGTGCGACACGCCCCTCGCTATCATAGCGCTTTCTGCCCATCCTTCAGCAGGCTTCCGTTCTTAAATTTGGGAGAGTAGCCAGTGGTTAACGACACCAATTAACGAAACAAATGCCTGTCACTGCAATTCAAGTAGGCGCCCTACCGTCTTACCCCGTCATAGCGGCTCCACTGACGTAGCGGATTGTTTGCGTCGGGCAGCGTTTCTGCTCACAAACCGTATGATTTTCCCGGTACTGCCTTTTCTTGCGTGTGTGCGTTAATGTCTCAGGCGATGTGCAGGCCGCGCTGCCGGCTGCGTGTGCCATGGAGATGATTCATACCATGTCGCTCATCCACGATGACCTACCATCTATGGACAATGACGACTTCCGCCGCGGCCGCCCTACCAACCACAAAGTGTACGGCGAGGACATTGCTATCCTATCAGGCGACGCGCTGCTGACTTACGCCTTTGAACATATTGCACGGGCGACGAAAGGCGTTAGCGCGGAGCGTGTCTTGCGGGTGGGTTGCGCTAATGGATCACTTGTTTGACTGAGGAGGAAAGATCCATGGATTGTGGGTGGGTACACATGATATGCCGACGCCAGGGGTTTGGTGAGTCTGGGTTCCATGGAAGTATCGACTTGCCGAACCAAACAAATTTTGCGAAAAAACGCAGAAGGCGCACAAGCCGGGCATGTATTACGGAGACATTGTTTGTGAGCACGCTTACTCTGTCAATGTACCTCCTGTGACACTAGTCGTGGCCGTGCTAACATTTTTTCCCTACATCCAAAGTTTCGTGCATACATTCGCCTGAACCAATGCTATCTGCGCCCTGGCTTCGTAAAATTGTGGTTGCTGCGTTGTTTGGAGACAGTCGGGCGATCCAGCGGCAGTCTTTTTAAGTCCTCTTGACCTGCGACGTGCACGGCGTTACTGCCTAGCAAATGGTGTTGGAGCAGCTGTGGGCTGCTTCCGTGTCGTGGGATGCTAATCTGTCGGGTGACCCGTATCATGCCGTGGTAGTCGAATGAATGGTCTCAAAGCAGGTTGCAGCCAGCCGATTTCTGTGGGGGCTACGTTGGTGGCCCCCTGTGCATGGACCCTTCCCAAATGCTTCCCGTCCACGAATCTTATGAACCGACAGGTCATTGCTGGCGCCGCATGTCGTGTCCTTTGCTTTGCTCTGGAAGCTCAGCTTTCCATCTTTGACCCATCCCGCCTGCCTGAACCTTTTCTCGCCAGGTGATTATGGAGCTGGGCCGGGCCACGGGTGCGGAGGGTCTTGTAGCTGGTCAGGTGGTGGACATTCAGTCGGAGGACAAGGAAGTGGGACTGGACGTGCTCAAGTACATCCACCTCCACAAGACTGCGGCGCTTCTAGAGGCGTCGGTGGTATGTGGCGCAATTGTGGGTGGCGCGGACGAGGCCACAATTGAGAAGCTGCGGAAGTATTCTCGCAACATCGGACTGGCTTTCCAGGTGGGACTCGGGAAGTGTCGGGTGGGTAGGCACAGGAGGAGGGCTGCTAAACATGGGGAGACACGGCGGAAGTGGAATATGACATTGAGGGCTGCCTGTGATCATTGTACTGGAGCACTCGACTAGCCACACGGATGCGATTGTGCATTATGCCGCGCAACAGGGGATTTGCTGCGCGTTCCTTGTGGTTGAGGTGATAGTGCATTGTTTCTGCTGCTCGCGTCAATTGTGTGTCTGTAAATGAGTGCGGACCGAGCCTTCCTATGTGCAGAGCTGGTTGAGTCCTAAAGATTGCCAGTTGAAACATTTGTAACGATCAGGCGCTTAATTATTGGTTGTTGGATCCTTGCTGTTCGCCTCCGGCTTGCAGGTTGTTGACGACATTCTCGATGTGACCCAGACGACGGAGCAGCTGGGCAAGACGGCGGCCAAGGACCTAGCTGTAAACAAGACGACCTATCCCAAGCTGCTTGGCCTGGAGAAATCCAGGGAGGTGGCAGAGCAACTTATCAACGAAGCCATCCAGCAGCTAGATGGCTTTGACAAGGTGAAGGCAGCCCCGCTGGTCGCCCTGGCAAAGTACATTGGCTACAGGCAAAACTGAGCTCAGCCATGGCTAGGATGTTGGTTGGTGGAGGGGATTTGGGGCGATTGGGATTAAGGGAGGTTGGACTGGAGATTTCGCATGAAGAGAAAGCAGGGTACCATACAGGGGGCAGGCATTGCGCGGGGCGAACGGGGGTTGGAGGCTGGCTTTGGCTTGGAAGCGTGACTCGTCTGCACAGGACAGGAAGATAATCGAGCGCGAAGATGACTTTGAGTGGGCTGAGTCCTTGATGGCTGGCAGCTGGCGAGGCACCTCAGGTTTAAGTTTCGAGACTTGCAAGGCCTGCGCGACGTGTAGTGATACCGGTTTGCGTCTTGTCGAGTGAGAAGATTTTTTGTATTATGAAATGTTTAAAAGGGCTCCGTGCCGTACCTGAGAGTTGTGCGGGCAGGATACAGAGTGGGGTTATTGCGTGGGCGGGTGCTCCGTCGTGGCCGTGACCAGCGGCGACGACAGCCTGCCTGGATAGGCGTGTGTGCGGAAGCCACACGGCTTGGGACTTGAACAGCCAAAAAATTATACAAGGCATTGTTTTTTCGTCACAACGCCCATTTTGGCTGTTGGAAAATTTCTGTAACAGTGCAGGAGTAATGTACGCGATTGGCATGGTAGACGCCAGGGCGCCATGCTAAGGCACACGATCTACGGCAGATTGGGTTCAGCCGGTGCCCACAGCAGCGAAGTGCAAGTATGGCAGACTGCGTCACAGTGCGCTTTTGGGAGCGGCTCGGTGATGATTATAACCGTAATGCAGGGAAGCTGTTGAAATCTTGATGTTGACAGGTATTAGCCAGTGCCAGCCATGCGTCGGTCCTCATTAACCTCGGTTGCCTTTCAATATGCGCTGCAAGAGGACTTCATACGCAAAGAGCTGCAAGGCATTGGTGTGTAGGTACAGGGTACTGGTGTGGACATTTTGTAGCCATTTGTAGGGCGTCGCGGGGTGGGGTGGGCTACGCAAGGGGTATGCTGTTATGGAAGAGTCGGAGCAAGGTGACTAGATAGAGCAACCTAACACGATCAGGCCTCTGCATATGATGGAATGGGGTTGACGCATCGACGCCTTCTCTTCCCTGCAAATATTTAGCTTACGGCCAGTCGCTGTACGGCTGTTGACTGCATCAGTGACTGGACTCCTCCCAGAGGTAGATGCATAACCTATTAGGTATTTATTGTTAATCTTGTTACCACAGGAAGGGGTCAACGCATCACGTCCCGATTTCCAAGCGCGGTCCCGCGGTCTAGCTGACACTTTATATCGGGACGATGTTACACAGTGAATTATTATAACATAATCGTCTAAAAGATGGACCGAAGATTTGAATGGGTCCAAGAGAAAACTTGCCTCGGCCTGGCCATTGCTCCCGAGCTCTTCGAGCAGGCGCTCAGCAGCTACGACAACAGGACAAAGATTACTGGCTTCTTAGATGGAGGTATATACATTTCAGTGCCTGGGTAATATTGCCATGCTTTCAGATGGCGACCTCTACAGTGTTGTCCATGTGCAGCCGAGTCAACGTCTGCTCTGCTCTTCGCCCTTGAGGAAACCACTATCTACGTTGAGGAGTATCAGGATGTATTAGTAGAGGAGTAAGAACCTTTACGGAGTGCATCGTCGCGACATGTGTAGCCGCTATTCGACAAGCACATTTATATTGCTTCCGTTGTGTAGGCAAGACCCGTCGTTCCACGTGGAAGGGGAGGAAACCGTCGATGCTGAAAACGCGGCGGGTGATGGCACTGAAGGTATGGATGGGTTTGTTATGGGTCGAAGTATGCTCGCCATTCCCTTCCCTCAGTTCCTTGGGAACCACCCGCTACTCCTGGGACCCGCCACGCAGCTCACGGCGCATCGGATGGCGATAACCGCACCGCGTCGGCTATGTCCCGGGAGGCGAGTGCTATGGGCGACCGGCCGCCTAGCAGTAAAGGCGACACCGCATCCTCTAACGCCCCGCCAGACTCTTCTTCCGCTGCCGTGGCCGACGGGTCAGCGGGTGCTGCCGAGGGTGCCGCGGCCGTGAGCTCGGCTGATGGCGCTGCCTCGGGTGAGGGCGCCGACGGCTCTCCAGGTGGGGAGGACGGTGAGGGTGGCGGCGACGGCGAGGAGGGCAGCCAGTCCAACGAGCCTCCTTCGCCGCCGCAGCCCAAGTACATCCGCAAAGTCATCAGCGTGCCCAAAGTCGTTAACAAACTGAGCATTGCGCTGGGCAGCCTGCCGGAGGAGCTCAGCAGCTGCCCCGCCTTTTACTTCATCCTTAACCGCCCCGGCCGCGTCAACGTGGATGAGCTAGATGCTGTCGTGGAGTTCGGGCTGCTGAGTGAGGGCCCCTCGCTGCGCATCCTCGAGCAGATGCTGTCGGCCGTGTTCGTACCGACGCTACTGCAGATGAGCGGCGGCGATGTGGCGGCTGGCGGTGTGCTGATGCAGTCTGTGACCAACAGCTCCCACCGGGAGTTGCTAGTCAACATGCAGAAGTTCCACAGCCAGGTTACGCAGGCGCTGCAGCAGCTCACCGGGGACGTCACCCTGCAGGTGGTTGGGGCAGGATTCTGTCCAAATTGGGAATGGGGTTTAGGATTTGGGTGCGGTTGGGTAATATGGCCGGCTTTCTGGCGTTCATACCAACCGCGCTCAGTGTGCTGATCGGTGCATTGGAAGGGCAGTCGCAATGCATAACATAAAGGGAAGTCATACGCGCTCGGATGGAATAAGAGGGGTCATGGGCGCAAGGACTAGGACATGGTACGGCAGCACCTGGGGATTACGGCGGCAAGGGTATTAGTGATAACGCAATGGCACTTTACACCGCGCCAAGAGCCTTGCAGCCGCATTGACCGAACAGTGCGGCGGATAGGGATTGCATCGGGCAAACTGGTTTGCAAATAGCCGAGTGTCCTTGGGCAAAGGCGATGAACGGGGAGGAGTGCGCGACCAGCGGGGAGCAACCAGTGGCACCTGCGGTCTCCCTGTTTGCCAGGGCAAAGTTACGCTTTTAGCGAGAGCGGTGTGCTGGCCTTAGACCGTGCCTCTGGCGATATGGAATTTACTGCGTCGGCGGGGCAATACGTGCACTATGTAACATCCGATGGCGGCTGCGCAAAAATAAGGTTGACTGATTGGCTGGCTGGACCGCGGAGCAGGTTCCCGACATTCCGCTGGAGGACGTGGACCGAGCTGCAGCGGATAGCGACCTCATCAATCAACTGGAGCTCTACATGGCGGACTGGTCGCAGGTGGGTGCGTGCCTGCACGCGTGTTTTGTGGGCGCGGACCTTGAAGCCAGGGCGGGCTCCCCGGATGGGTCGCTGTGACGGGCTGCGGCGCTTTGTTGGCGTCAGGTGGAGGGAGACCTGAAGGACATGGGATTGTTGGGCCGCAGGAGTTGGGAAGATAGCGTGCGGATAAGGAGAATTCAGGGAAGGAAAAAGAGGAACTTGAGCAGACGGGATTCGACCTGGGTTCAACAACCGAGGCCGGGCTCGCCGGTGTCAGTATGCATGGTAAAAGCCATGGACAACCCATTAACCTTGTTTGGAAGTTTGCCTCTCGTTCCCGAGAAGGTAAAGAGTGTGTGAAACCAGGAGGAGCCGAGGTTGCTTCCTTGAGCTCCATTCCTCGGCATGTCGCTGAATGTCAGAATGTGCTGCCGGTGTGCAGGTCCTGGCGAGCGTGCTGCAGCGGGAGAGCCAGAAACATCCCACTGGGAAGGGCCCGTTGGCAGAGATTGAGTTTTGGCGCGAACGCAATGCCGTACTTTCGAGTTTGTACGAGCAGCTAAATCTGCCGCAGGTGAGCCGACCGGTCCGTGTACGGCAGGCGCGTGGATGTATAATATGGTCTTGGTGATGGCGAATGGAGAGTAAATCATGTAGCATTAGATTACAAGAGCCACAGTGGTGGCAGAAGAGTCCTGGATAGAGCCTCAAAGCGCTGATTTTTTCACCTACCCCTAGGCCTCGTGCCAGCTTCCGCGCCGTTTCCATGTCTATTGGTTGTTTTTCTTTCGCGTCCTATGGTTCCCAGCGTATCACGTGCCTTGCTTCCCGGACCGCCAGGTCAAACGCATGATCAGCGCCGTGGAGAAGGGCTCCTACGACCGCAACCTCATCGCCGGCTTCAAGTCGCAGCTGGGCGAGCTGACCAAGCTTGCTACCGAGGCGCGCGACAACGTCAAGTTCCTCACCACTCTGGAACGCCACTTCAAGAACATTGCGGCCGGGCCTTTGGCTGGCATCCTGGACACGTTGCCGCCGATGATGAACGCGCTCCGCATGGTGTGGATTATCAGTCGCCACTACTCTGACGATCAGCGCATGGGCAGCCTGTTCCAGCGCATCGCGCGCGAGATTGGCGACCGCATCGAGTCGGCCGTTGATCTGCGGCATATCTTCCGGATGTCCTCCGCGGACGCAGTAGAGCTGCTCAAGGTGGGCCGGAACGGGAGGGGAACGGGGAGAAGTTAAGGGAGTGTTTGGAAGATGAAGGATACGGGGCCTTTGAGGGCGCCATGATATCATAATAATGAAACGTGTGGGCGTGGGAACGAATGCCTCTTAAATGGCCTTTACGGTTTTTCTATATGTGATGATGAAAGAGTGGGAGCTGTCTGGTTGTGGGAGATAATCCTCGCGCCTCTGAATGTTATTGCTTAACGCAGATACGTCTGCCGGAATAGGACACTAAAACGGCATGACCATCCCTTCGGCCGTACTGGCTATGTGACCCGGTGCAGGTGTGCAAGAGCGTGCTGGAGCACTGGTTGTCTACCTACATGGCGATGCGTGAAAAGATTGAGCTGAGTGGCCGTGACGCGCGCTGGGAGTTTCCTAAGCAGCTGCTCTTCGCACGTACTAACTACATGGCGGAGATTTGTGCGGACCTGATAGAGATGGTGGAGATTGTGGATGACTTTTTCCGCTTCCTGGGTCCCGAGCTGAAGGCAGTGACAGGTGGGTGACGCGTTCACGTTAGCAGTGGAGCCCGCCGGAGTCCACTAATACACGACACCAAGGCCGTCGATGCCACCTAATAAAACCTGTCACCACAATTTGTCTCAGGCCTTCGTAGTCGTTCTTCCCTAATTCGACCAGGCTCGCCGGCTTCCTGACCCCGCTAGCTCTGGACTTCTTTGGCGCCGATTGGTCTTTCCCTAGCCATCTTTATGTGCCGCCCCACCTGCGCTTGTCACTGTGTGCAGGCGATACGGCCGGAATCGATCGCGTGGTACACCGCGTGGTGGCCATGTACGAGCCCATCGAGTCGATCAATTTCAACGTGTTTGACTTCGCTAATGGGCACGAGTGGAAGGCTGCCAAGGCACAATTCTACTCGGACAATGAGGACATCAAGGCCGCCACACGCGAGCTCATCGACACGTCCTTCCGCAAGTTGAGGTCCGCGGAGGGCGCGTGTGAGCTGCTCCAAAGCTTCAAGTCCATTAAATCCAAGGGTGCCATCCAGAAGCAGGTCATGAACAAGTTTAACGACATTCTGGAGCAGTTTGCACGTGAGATTGAGCAGACGGCGGAGATTTTTGAGAAGAACAAAGACGCGCCGCCCGTGACTAAGAATCAGCCGCCAGTGGCCGGAGCGATCAAGTGGGTGCGCTCGCTGCTGGAGAGGCTCAAGCGCACCATGGCCAAGCTATTGTCCACGGAGGAGGTGAGAAGGATATGGTTGCGGCATAGGACTGTTGGATTTGCGAGGCGTGCCGAACGTGAATAGGGGTAACTCGGGAACAAGGTCTAAGGCATAACGAGGACAAATGAAGGTAGGCCAAGATCTGAGGCCTTTGATTTCCTGGGGGTTCCCAAAGGTCAGCCTTAACCAACACGGAGGCCATAGGTTCTTCCATTTGTTGAGCTGGTCGTCGTCCTTAGACCCCACACTCGTTGTGTCAGGTCGAACGCTTCCTCACATGAGCGCGCTGGCGTGCTCGCGCTGCATGCGCACATGCTGCGCGTCCTCACGCTTCCTCGCTTCCTCACGCTTTCTCACATGTGCACTTATCACAACGCGACACAGGAGATTGTCCGCACGACGGAGGTGGGTCAGGCTGTGGAGGCCAAGTTTAAGGCGTTTGCGCGGGCGGTAATGCAGACAGAAAAGAAGTGGTTCAGCGGTTGGAGCGACACCATCAACGGCGTGGCCATGCAGCACCTTAAGCAGACCATCTTCCGCCGCAACCCCACCACCAGTGAGTCAGTGGGCGGGCTGCCTGCGTCGGGTGTGCTGGGGCCCATGATATGGTACGCCGGGAAGGCGGAATGCTCTCTCGTCACTCTTGGCAAGTCATGCGGTTGTCCTTCCCCATAATTGGAAGTGTGAAGTTCCTTGCTCGCCTCTGACGGTGAGGCCGACTTCGGGTAACCCGCACGCCCACCCGGCCGATTTGTTGCACTTCCATCCCTCTCCTTCGCTGATGTGTTCATGGCCTTATATCAGTGGAGAGAAAGCAGCGTCGGCCCTCATTCGCGGGTCCTCCTACATCGCAACGGCTCACTCGAACCCCACCCTCTCCGCACCTGCCGCTCCTCAGACCGCGTGGAGGTCAATTTCCACTCCGACCTGGTGCGCCTGATCCGCGAGACACGCTACCTGGACCGTATGGGCTTCCCTATCCCCGAGATTGCGCTCAACGTGGCGCTCCAGGAGGACAAGTTCCTGCAGTGGCTAGAGGGGCTCAACTCCATGCTAGCAAAGTACTACGAGGTATGTGTAAAGCGGGACTAGGACGAGAATGAAGCGAGCATCGCAGGGTCGGTCAGTAGCCAGAATCGAAGGCCAGAATCGTTTTGCAACCCCGGCATGCGTGGGTCGGAATTGTAAGAAAGACGGAAGATTGGGTCCTGTAGAGCTACTTTGCGGCCCGCGACGCCCCCGGCCATCTGTCCGCTAGCCCTTACATACTTTTCAATCGTGTCCTTTTTTCCCCTAGGCTGCTCAGCCGAAAGGTAAAGGGGCCATCCATTAACATACGTCAACCATAGCCCATCCTTGCCTCGGTTCTTCTCTTCCCTGCTCTCTTCTTCACGGTCGCAGTCCATCGACCAGTTGACCTCGGTGGAACGTGAACTCATGGAGCGCAAGTTGGAGGAGCTGGAGAGCTGCCTGCAGCCCGGCTTCACCATCCTCAACTGGAACAGCCTGGGCATCACGGAGTTCATCGGCGCTTGCGACAAGGCGATCGCCACCTTCCAGCAGCTGGTCAAGCAGGTGCAGAAAAACAGCGGCATCATAGAGCAGGTCGTCTACGCCATTGCCAGCTCACAACTTGTGTCCGAGGCAGAGGAGGGTGAGGTTGGGCTCGTGGGCTTGGGGCGAGAAGGGAGGGACTGGGAGGGCGAACATGCACGGTGGGGGAAAGGCGTACGCGGGTAAGGTTTGGGGTGCGAGTCCTCGAGGGTCGCGAAGCTGCAGGGACAGGCAACCTATGATGCCTGGCGGCGAGCGGTGCCGCCAAACCTAAATCTATCCGGCGCTACACCTGGATCCGGTAGTCACTTTTTCAAGCATGGTCATTTCAGTTATCGTTGGCGAGGTCCTCGTAACTTAGTCACTCCTAATGCACGACCGTTGTAGCGCCCCAAAGCTATGTCACGACCTTGAATGCGCGCGTGTTGGTTGTTTACGCCCGCAGGTGCCGAGGTGATGGACCTCCAGGAGTTTTACGAGCACATTGAGCGGCAGCGGCTGGCAGTGTTGGAGGCGCTGGTAAAGAAGTACCGCACCATCAGTCCACTGCTGGGCAAGATAGAGGAGGTGGTGGCTGGAACCAACAGCGGAAAGTCACCCGCGCTAGCTGGCTATTACGCATTCTGGGAGCGTGCCATATTCAACGCACTAAATACCATGGTGCTTAATGCCATGACTACGCTGCAGGTGGGGCGGCAGGCTTGGTGGGTTAGGACTTGCTACGCAAAGGGAAAGCTTACGTTGAGGAACGAAGAGAAAACGCCGTGAGACGTCTTGTGTGCAACCTTAGCTGCACAATACTGGGATCCCATCTAACCAACTTCGTCGGCTTTCCAAGCTCTCTTTCTCCAGCTGCCGCTTGTGGCTGTTCCAAATGGCTGCTTGGATTGTCTCCAGCATCGGACGGCTGCGCCCACCCACGCCTTCTTTGCCACGCACGCTGACATCCCTCGCCTGCCGCGCCGTATCCTCCCTACTTGCCATTCCGCACCTACAGACCATGATTGACGAGCGTTCGCGATTTTTTGGCGCCCAGCGGCGGCCGCCGCTGTTCAAGGTGACTGTGTCGCTTCAGAGTGTGGACGTGGTAGTTCAGCCGCCAATGGCCGAGGTGAACAAGGCGCTGGGCCGGCTGGTGCGCAGTCTGGTGGAGTCCACCAAGAGCTTCGTACGCTGGATGGACGGCACCTGCATTGAGACGCCAGAGCAACGCGGCGCGTCGGACGATGACGAACCCATCGTGTTCACCTTCTATTGGGACGTGGCGGCAAACCCGCAGGTGCGTACCTGTGTATCAGTGCGTTCATGCCAGCATGCGGAAGCGGACACAACGGCAGGAAGGGGTTTTAAAAGGAGCCCCGGAACTATGTCGCGTGGCTGCTGCTGCTGGTGGCTATCTGCTCGTCTGTCGGTTTGGCACGGTTTCCAGTCCCCCCACGCCGGTGAATAGGCGATATAGCATAAATCCACGCTCCATGTCTGACCCTCTAATACACTTTTGCACGCGTCCTTGTCCCAACTGCTGACCGACACCGCAGGTGATCAAGACCATGCTTCAGCTGAACCAGTCCATCCAAAAGGCTATCACCTCGGTCAACAAGTACACAGAGAGCTGGCGGCGGCACCAGTCGCTGTGGAAAACGGACAAGAGCAGTGTACTTGACAAGTTCAAGGCGAGGGACCCTTCGGCGGCGCACTTTGAGGACAAGCTGTCCAAATACGCAAAGGTACCGCAAAAGCTGTTATTGCCGCAACAAGTCGCTGGCAATGTTTTTCTCCAAAATGGGAGCCGAGGTTTTTATAGCTAAGGGAGCGATAACATTTGTCTTTTGGTGTGTTGCTTATCGCTCCTGACCCAAGCGGCTGGCGAGGGCTACGCACCTAGACCCCCGTTGAATAACCAACACAGTGCTGCCGTACTGCATCTGGGTACAAATCCCTTCCTGACCCAAATGTTCATCCGATTCTTGCAAAAATTCTGATTGCCGCACAATGTTATTGTCTTGCGATCACACCAATCCATGCAGTAAATTCAACACTCCTCGGTTCTCACATTCTTGGTTGGTAAACCCACACAGCCAAACTGCCAGGACCGTCTCTCTCCTGAGCTTCTATCAGCTCCCCGCCCTAAGTACCCCGACAACAAATTCTGTTTTGTGGCCATAACGTTGCACTTACGGGTCGAACACCGTGAGCGATGGGATGTACGGCGTCATCGGCGCCGTATCGTTCGTTTTCGCTTCCCGAAAAATTTTGTTCTTTTCGCTCGTGAGCGATATACCTCTCAAGAAAACATTGGTCGCTGGCCGGCGTGCGCTGCCAGCGACTGCCACTGTCCCCACAGCCTCCTCGCTTTCCTGACCTGACACCTCACCCGTTCTCCCCCTGCAGATGGCGGTGGAAATCTCAGCGCAGGCTAAGGATTTCGACCAGGACTTTATCCGAGTTTCCTGCCACGCGCTTGCGTCGTCCGTGTGCGACGAGGCACTGGCATGGGTGCGCGCAATTGCGCAGACCATGCGCGAGCTGGACGCAATCACGGAGGCGGCGCTGCGAGACAAGATCGCCAAGTTCCAGGCTGCGCTTCACCGACCACCCAATACACTGGAGGAGCTCAAGCAGGTGCTCAACACCGTCAATACCATCAGGTGCGTGTATGTGGCTGTAAGACTGGACAGGAGGGCATGTTTTCCGGGCAGCGTGAAGCATCTTTCAAAGGAGGGCTTGCCGGGCTGAGTGAAGACCTGCTGTATTAACACGTCCGTCCCCGGGTGGTTAGGATTCCAGGTGACGGCAAATTCTCCCTTTCCCGTTCGTCAACTTAACCCGGGCACCAGAAAGGGTGCGCTCGAAGGTTCCCACGAGCTCCATCGACGCATGGTTTTCCATCCCTCCAATGCCGCCGTTGAATCATAGGGGTGAGAGCATGGTGATGGAGCTGCGCTACACGGACCTGGAGGAGCGCTACCGCACCCGCCTCCTGTACGCCACTCACCCTGAGGAGACCGCCCTGTGCGAGGCGGAGCTCAAGTCTGCGTGCGAGGTGGGTCTGGCGTCCATGGATGGGGACGGCGTGCAGCCGGTAACGGAGGAGGAAGGTCTAAATAAGCTTGGAGCTTTCTAATGAGCGATGCTATAGGGCCGGGGCGCCCGCATAACTAGTCGGCCTTACCCTAACGTCCTGCACTCTCACTTCACAGGTCCGCCAGCTATGGCTGTCTCTCCTCAGCGAGGCGGACGAGGTGGACTGGTCACTTGAGGATACCAAGAAGAAGTTCTCGGAGACGACACGGATGCAGGTGGTGGACTTCTCTGCCTACACTGCAGAGCTGTGGGAGCGTTTCCGCACCAGCGGCCCCGGGCTGCCCACGGTGGAGCTGGTGGTGGGCCTGGACGAGCTGCACAAGTACGAGGCGAGCTTGCAGGATGCGCTCCGGCAGCGTGAGCAGCTGGTGCTGGCAGAGAAGCTGTTCGACATGGCCATCACTGCATATCCCGAGCTGGCGCAGCTGGAGGCGGAAATCCGGAAGTTGGGACAGGTGCACTGGGATGATGCGCGCGGGTGTGGGGCAAGGCTCGTGTGCCGTAGATGCAACGTTATGGCTATTGGAAGGATGGGTCCTGGCTGCGCCCCAAGCTAGGTGGTTTTGTACGTGATTCCTGTGGGTTTGGTAATCAATGGTCGGGCTGAATTGTTTGGCGATTGTTAGCAGGATGTGCTGCGTGCGGAGAGTCGTCGCAGAGCGTTCAAGCCAAATTTGCACGTACAGAAGACAAGCCGTCGTGAAAGCGTCATCCGCCATGCTGTACAAACGACAGGTGTACGGCGTGTATGCCGAGCACGCCGAAGCTGTGCGTCAGTACTCGAGCCAGCTATGGAGCGAGCTGGATGTGGGCAAGATGATGACGGGCACGGAGGCGGTGCTGACCAAGCTGCGCAAGCTCAAGAATCTCAAGCTGCTGCCAGTGTACGAGTTGGTGGAGAAGGAGATCCAGGGCTTCTACAACTCGCTGCCGCTCATGAAGGAGCTCAAGAGCGAGGCGTTGAGGTGCGTTATTGGTGGCTTATTGGGGGGTATTGCCGAGCCATAGCTTCGCTGCGTGCCTCTCTTTTGTCGCGGTCGGGCTTCAGTAACACCTCCCCCGTCATGCCTTGGCCCTTCCCTTGCCACCATCCAGGAAGCGGCATTGGAGCCGGTTGATGGAAGTGACGGGCCAGGAGTTCGACATGGACCCCAAGACCTTCACGCTGGGCAATATGTTTTCTATGCAGCTCCACAAATATGCGGAGGAAATTGGGAAGATCACCAACGCGGCCATCAAAGAGCTCACGGTGAGCTTACTGAGGGCACCACAGTTTCCGTTGATGCTGCAAGGACATGTACCCATAGTTGCTGCAGCCTGTAGCCTATTGAGTTAGGCGTAAGCGACACATTGCCCCAACCCCTACCTTTGACGTTCGTCTAGGTCCAGTGTCCCGCCTTAATGCCCTGTTTCCCGCGATTCTTCCCACTGCCGTCTCCAAACAGATCGAGTCAGAGATCAAGAAGCTGGCGGACGTGTGGCGCGAGCAGCGCTTCGAGCTGGGCAAGTACATGAAGGGCCCCGAGGACCGCGGTTGGGTGCTGCGCTCTACCGAAGACATCCTGGTGCTGCTGGAGGATATGGGTCTCAACCTGCAGTCAATGATGGCGTCACCCTTTGTGCGGCCCTTCCTCACGGAGGTCCGAGCCTGGGAGCAGAAGCTCTCCCTTATCGGGGAGTGCATCGAGGTGTGGATGCACGTGCAGCGCAAGTGGATGTACTTGGAGAGCATCTTTGTCGGCTCGGACGACATCCGGCACCAGCTGCCCGCGGAGGCCAAGCGTTTCGACAACATCGACCGGCAGTGGCAGAAGACCATGAACGATACGGCCAAGAACACGGTGGTATTAGACGCATGCATGGCCGACGGTCGGCTGGACCTACTCAAGAGCCTGTCGGAGCAGCTGGAAATCTGCCAGAAGAGCCTGTCAGAGTACCTGGACACCAAGCGCTGTGCCTTCCCGCGCTTCTTCTTCATCTCGGACGACGAGCTGCTGTCCATTTTGGGAACCAGCGACCCCACCAGCGTGCAGGTGAGTCAGAGCGATGGCTTCCCGGGAGGCAAGGAAGGGAGAAAGGATAGGCAGGCTTGGAAAGTGGGCACGTAGACTGAGGTCGGAGGTCTAAGCGGCTTGGCTGGGGGGTTCGGGTTTAGGAAGGAGCATCCGGAACGTCGCCCACCTGTTTATTGGCCACCCCATCATCAGGGTCTAGGCATCGTAAGGATTCGAAATCGGTTTGGTCCGGATCTGGCTCTCATCTTCTCCGGCTCCTTTTTCGTGCCCACGCCCTGTTCGCCTCTTCCCGTTCTCACAGGAGCACATGCTCAAGTTGTTTGACAACTGTGCAGCGCTGGTATTCGGGCGCGGTAACAAGACCATCACCGGCATGGTTAGCAGTGAAAAGGAGGGCTTTGAGTTTCGCAATGTGGTGCCCATTGAGGGCGCGGTGGAATTGTGGATGACCACCGTGGAGGCGGAGATGCGCAAGACGCTTTACCAGGTGCGGGGGCTTGGGCCGGGTGCCTGATGGTGCCGTGTCCTGTGGGCATGTGTTTCGTCGGCGGAATGTTCGGACCTGCCCTGCTGTGTGGGTATGTAAACGTTGCAGTGAATTCCACCACACTTGGGTGAGTGCACCTGTGACCTCGTGAAATGAACTGTCTGGCTACTAACTTGGGCCTTCCGTGTCCGGTTGCTGCCTTGTGGCGCAGATAACCAAGGAGGGCATCTTCTACTACGCAAAGTCTCCCCGCACCAAGTGGATCAGCGAGAACCTGGGTATGGTGACACTGGTGGGCAGTCAGATCTGGTGGACGTGGGAGACAGAGGACGTCTTCCGCCGGGTGCGAGACGGCAACAAGCATGCCATGAAGGAGTTTGCAGCCAAGCTCACGGGACAGCTGTCCGAGCTGACCGGCATGGTAAGGGCGTGTGGGTGCGTGCAGATGTGCGCGCAGGGTTGGAGTCGCCCCTGCACCCAGGTGCCCTTATCGGCGTTTGTTGTTCGCCATGAACGCATGGCAAATAGCGCTGAGAGATCCGAGGGAAGGGTGATTGACATTTGCAGGCGCGCGCATGAACGGGGCCTCGTGCTGCCCTTGCTCCTTTTGCCCTAGTTGTCGTTACCCCCTGTGGTCTACTGAGCCTCACTCTACCTTCTCCGGTATACTCTGTTCTTATCTCCTTTCTTCCCTGCCCTGTTTTCTATCACTGCTCTGAAGGTGCGCAGCGATCTGAGCAACGAGGTGCGCAAGAAGGTCAACACGCTCATCATCATCGATGTGCACGCGCGCGACATTATTGACACCTATGTGCGCGACTCCATCGTGGACGCCCGCGAGTTTGCGTGGGAGAGCCAGCTACGCTTCTACTGGGACCGCCAACAGGACGACATTCTCATCCGCCAGTGCACGGGTGAGTGGATTGGAGGGCGGCTAGATGTGAGCAGGACTCAGGGCCTGTTCGTTGGGGCGGGAATCGGCTGAGGGACTGGCCAGAGGGGGACCGAACAACGACGCTTAACGTTGAACATTTTAGGGATGAAACCGTTTGCAAGCATTCGCAAGGTTGTTGGCAGGTTCACCTTCAAAGCATGGGCCTGGAAATGTGGCGTGACTGTCCCTACCGCTACTGCCGCCCCCTAACCCGCCCTGGCCACTATGTCCTTACCCCAGGTCTCTTCAAGTACGGCTACGAGTACATGGGACTCAACGGCCGCCTGGTCATCACCGCCCTCACCGACCGCTGTTACATGACCCTCACTACGGCCCTCACATACCGCTTGGGGGGTGCGCCGGCAGGCCCAGCAGGGACAGGTGTGCCGCGAAACTATCTTGATGTCCATACAGTACTGGGGCTGTCAGGCCTCCAGCTGAGTCACTTGAGCTAGGACTGATCCGTTCGTTTGGGCCTGGACCGTCTTTGGGGCATACCGTAGCGGAAAAGTGGTCCTCAAGCCTAAGGAACAGCGGCTATTGAAACTTCTATGCCATTCTAAGCCGCATCCAGTGCTTGGCATTTGCTTAACCATGTGCTTGCCCATTGGACCGTCTTGCGTGCTGGCCTGGGTTGAAATGGTGGTGGTGCTGTAGGCAAAACGGAGACCACCAAGGATTTGGCCAAGTCGATGGCGCTGCTGTGCGTGGTGTTCAACTGTGGTGAAGGACTGGACTACAAGGTGCGTTGACCGGCTCCTTTGATACACGGTTGTTGTACACGGCATGCGCCGCTAATTGTAAAAGGCAACGAAAGGCGGTCCGATTCATTGATGCTGCCATACTTCAACAGGGCTCCTTGTACTTGTCCGTCCCGTCCTCACCCATACATCCGTGCCCCTTGTTGTTTCTTTTCATGCGGTCTGGGCGTGACCGATGTTCCTTCTATCACGCAATTTTTGTCATCTCCGCGCAGGCGATGGGCTCCATCTTTAGCGGCCTGGTGCAGTGCGGTGCTTGGGGCTGCTTTGATGAGTTCAACCGCATCGAGGCGGAGGTGTTGTCCGTGGTGTCCTCCCAGATCAAGCAGATCCAGGAGGCGCTAAAGAACGACCTGACACGCTTCCAGTTTGAGGGCAAGGAGATCAACATCGACCCGCGCACCGGCATCTTCATCACCATGAACCCGGGCTACGCGGGTCGTACTGAGCTGCCGGACAACCTCAAGGTGAGCATGTGCGCACATGACAGCATCTTTCCAGTTCGCGAGCGAAAACCGCTGGCGTCAAAATGTTTACCGACAGTGCGTTGGCGCATGTGTAATGTACTCCTCGCAGCCCAACCCGATCCCGCGCGCCACACCACCACGCCACCTTCTTCCTACCCCTGCGCGCTTCGTTCCCTGGCCACTTCGTGCAGGCCTTGTTCCGTCCCGTGACCATGGTGGTTCCTGACCTTGAACAAATTTGTGAGATCATGTTGTTCTCGGAGGGCTTCGACAGCGCCAAGGTGCTCGCCAAGAAGATGACGGTGCTGTACAAGCTGTCCCGCGAGCAGCTTTCCAAGCAGCACCACTACGACTTTGGGCTGCGTGCGCTCAAATCGGTGCTGGTCATGGCCGGATCGCTCAAGCGCGGCGCGCCTGACATGTCGGAGCAGCTGGTGCTGATGCGCGCGCTGCGCGACATGAACCTGCCAAAGTTCATATTCGACGACGTGCCACTGTTCCTGGGACTCATCAACGACCTGTTCCCAGGTGAGTGAGAAGAGCACGAATCTCAGCTGGCCTGGCATTGTGACTCTTGCTGGTTGGAGACCTGAGAGGCTCTGACGGAGGGTAATGGGGGAAAAACTGGAGTCGGTGTTGACATTCATTAACCCCCATGGCTGTGGGGTGTTAGGACGCAGTTCCCCTTCCCGAAGCCCCTGTACCCCTTTTTCCCCTTGCCGCCCACAGGTATGGACTGTCCCCGGGTGCGCTACCCCCAGTTCAATGACGTGGTAGAGTCAGATTTGGCGGACCAGGGCTACAAGGTGCTCACGGAGCCCAGCGAGCAGGTAGGAAAGAGAGCAAGGGAGAGGGCAAAGGGGTCATCACTTCGGTAGAGGTCTTTCTTTTTTGCATTCTCTGCTGCCCAGAGACTTGAGCCATTTCCCATTCTGCGTCCGTGGTCCTCCCCTTTGGGCAAGCAGGGTAAGACTCTGCTACGAGACGTATCTAGTAAAGCTCAGTGCTGGTACTGACGCACCGTTGTCCTTTGCCCCGCGTTGACATGCCATGCAGGTTGACAAGATTGTGCAGCTGTATGAGGTGATGATGACCCGCCACACGACCATGGTGGTAGGGCAGACGGGCGGAGGCAAGACCGTCATTCTAAACACCCTGGCCCGCGCACAGACTAAGCTTGGCAAGAAGACGCACCTGTATACCATCAACCCCAAGGCCATCTCGGTTTCGGAGCTCTACGGTGTGCTGGACAAAGATACTCGTGACTGGACGGACGGACTGCTGTCCAACATATTTAGGTGGGACGGGCCTGAGGGCCAGGCATCATGGAGTGGGTCAGCAAGATTTCGCTTATTGCACCGCTGTGCGGGCCCATACCGCCTGCTTGCCCATATTTTCCCGCCTTGTATGATGTGTGAAACAGGGGGGTGTATCTTCGCCCGTGGCAGCTACCCTGCGAAACCCTGCCTTCCCCGGTATTTCGGGGCACCCTCATCCAGTCACCCTAGTCAACTTCTCAGTGGATCGCTCAGGTTCCGCACCCGCCACCAGCATCCAACGGAATCTGCCGGGTCGACAGCGGCGCAACTCCATTCCTGGTCGGCTCGCAGGTTAACTTTATCCCAGGTCACCACTGTCCATCAACTAGGGGCGCAATGCCTTCCACCATCGGAAGGACTATTCACCCTCACGGGTATCGATCCCGGGATCTCCCGGGGGCAATGGTCGCGCCTTACCAGTGGTGCCAAACCCTTGTATGCTTGTTGGCCCAATTCCAACCGCCGGAAAACCCCCCAATCCAAACGTAGGGAGATGAACAAGCCGCTGCCACCGGAGCGCGACGAGGCGCGCTACCTGGTGTTCGATGGCGATGTGGACGCGGTTTGGGTGGAGAACATGAACTCGGTCATGGACGACAACAAGCTGCTCACACTGCCCAACGGAGAACGCATCCGGCTGCAGAACCACTGCAAACTGTTGTTCGAGGTGTTCGATTTGCAATTCGCGTCCCCTGCTACCATCAGCAGGTGAGTGGAAACGCAGGAAACCAGGCCAGGATGCGAAGGGGGGAGCCCTGGCGGCGTCATGCCGCCTCGGAAGATTGGGCACCATGACGGCACGGGCCAGATGGAACGGGCCGCATGGACAAGGCCTAAGACCCAGCAGTAGGCTATGAGGGGTGGTGCGCGTCCGTGTTTTGAATATCCTGTACCCATTGGTTTTCCCATTGCGGCCCCATTGGGCGTTCGCCATAGGTGGTTACGGATCTCCTTACGAATCCCTTCCGCCCCCCTGGCCTCCGTGCACCTCCCGGCCCGTCCAGGTGCGGCATGGTGTACGTAGACAGTCGCAACCTGGGCTACAAGCCCTACATCTATACCTGGCTCAACTCCCGTGCCAAGCAGAACGAGGTGGACATCCTGCGCGGACTGTTCGAGAAATACGCCGTGCCTGCTGTGGACTGGGTGCTGGAGGTGCGTACATGCGTGCGTGCGGTGGTGGGCGTGTGGGTGGATGTGCGTGCGGTGGTGGGCGTGTGGATGTCGGCGTGGGCTGCGTGGGCGCGGGCAGCGTGGCTACGCGGATATGCACAGCACCCTGTTGTTACTTTACCGCGTCACGGCTGATGAGTTAGCTACTGCTGTTTGGCGTGCTGCGGTGCTGTGCATGCAGGGCATCGATGGAGAAGAGCTGGTCCGACGGCCCAAGCAGGCGGTGCCCGTTACGTCGCTCAACATGATCACGCAGCTGTGCAACCTGCTCAACACCACCATCACCGACCACCCCCGCATGAGCGACCCGCAAATCCTGGAGGCCATCTTCCTCTTCTGTACCGTCTGGTCGCTGGGTGAGCTCTGCTGGCCGCGGTGTGAATGAAAGAGCCGGGGTCGGGCTTAAGGGTTTGTAGCGTGATGACTCTTGGAGGAATGGATGTCCGCTGCGTCACTTAGGAGCTATGCCGTGGCTCATCACGGAACAACTCGTGCGCGCCAAACGCGTAACCTTGGCCCACCGTTTCCGCGCTCACCTCCGCTGCCACTTCGCAGGCGCTGCACTGGTTCAGCGGCCCGAGTGCCCCGATCGCGACCGCTTCGACGCGTTCGTGAAGCACATCGCGTCCATGGGTCTGGTGGACGGGGAGCGAGTAGCCGCCACACAGCTGCCTGCTCGCTCGCTCTACGAGTATTGCTTCGACACCAACGAGGGCGTGTGGAAGAGCTGGAGGTCGTACCTGCAGGCCTACGAGCCGCCTTCGGACGGCGCGTTCAGCAAGATCCTCGTGCCCACCGTGGACGTGGTCAGGTGAGTGATGGGCTCATCGCTCGCGACCGCCCTTTGGGCCCCGCCTTGCGCCTCCCTCTCCTATCCTTTCCTCTCATCTTTGGCCCTCGTTACACCTCGTTATACCTGCTCCACCCTCCTTGCGCCTCACACAACATCCCGCTTGCATCCATCCCTCCTTTCCCCCCTCGCTCCACCGCATCGAATCACCACGCGCAGGTCCACCTGGTTGTTGAACACGGTGGTGTCCTCGGGGAAGCCCTGCCTGTTTGTGGGTGAGAGCGGCACTGCCAAGTCGGTCACCATCGCCAACTACCTGGCGCATCTGGACGCCAACATCAACATCGTGCTCAACGTCAACTTCTCCTCCAGGACCAGCTCGTTGGACGTACAGCGTGCTATTGAGGACTCCACGGAGAAGAGGACGAAGGTATGTGGTGCAGTGTTGCACATACCGGCTGCGGTCGCTGGCAGAGATGCAAGCATGCGTGATGCGGGCGACCCACACAGCCCACACCCCAGGGCTGTGTGGGTTAGGGGTTTTATTAATGCGGTGCCCTAAAACTTCTGAACCACCTTTCCTTGCGTCCCTCCCCTTGCCTCCCACAGGACACATACGGCCCACCCATGGGCAAGCGACTGCTTATGTTCATCGATGACCTCAACATGCCTCGCGTAGATACGTACGGCACACAGCAGCCCATCGCGCTGCTCAAGCTCTTCATTGAGCGACGCGGGCTGTACGACCGCGGCAAGGAGCTAAGCTGGAAGAACATGAAGGATGTGCAGGTGGTGGCTGCCATGGGACCGCCCGGCGGTGCACGCAACCCCGTCGACCCGCGGTTCATCTCGTTGTTCAACGTGTTTGAGATCCAGTTCCCGTCCAATGAGAACCTGCGCACCATTTACCAGGTATGATATGCAGGCTTAAGGGTTCGCGTTGCTAGTGGATCCGGTGTTAGCGCCGTGTGTTCCTGAAATCCAGGCGACGTGGTTTCCATGTTCTACCTTGCTACCAATTAAGTGTTTAGGACCCGAGGTGCACGCCTCTGCACCGCGACGTCCACGCGGTTTGCCAAGAAGTGACGTTAAGGATGATGGTTGTCCCGTCCCTCCAGGCCATCTTGACTCGTCACCTGGCCAAGCTGCCCTCGGACGAGATCCGTGACCAGCTAGGCGAACGCCTCACCGACGTGACACTGGAGCTGTACAACTTCATCATCGACAAGCTGCCGCCCACGCCCTCGCGCTTCCACTACATCTTCAACCTCCGTGACCTGTCGCGCATCTACGAGGGCCTGCTGCTGTCCATAGGTGGGTAATTGCCGACTGGGTTATCCGGCGGGGTGGCCACATGCGGATGTGGCGGGACGAGGTGCCCTCGTAGCGATCCCTTCCCGTCTGACACACCACCTCCAATCCTACCGATACTACGTCCATACCTGCATCCCCGCTCCTCCCGCGGCCCAATCCGCCATGTGCACACATTTACCTCAGGCGACTGCTTCAAGACACCAGAGCAGTTCCTCCGCCTGTGGCGCAATGAGTCGCTCCGTGTGCTTCACGACCGGCTGATCAGCACGGAGGACAAGCGATTGGTGGTGGAACGCATGGAGGCGCTGGTGCAGCAGAAGTTTCCCAACCTGGCGGCCTATACGCTGGCATCACCGGTGCTGTTCGGGGACTTCAAGTGAGGATACGTGCGTGGACGATGCCGCCGCACGCGTGGGGACAATGATCCATCAGGTCCCGCCCATCTCCAGGGCTAGGCGGGCTAGGAATGTGATGCAGTGGGAAATGAAAATGATTGAACCTGCGGTTGTGCGGCAGTTGCAGGCCTGTGGCCTGCTGGGGTTGGCACCTTGCCGGCGGTGGTGGATGCACGATGGCTGTTCGTGAAGGGTGCTCATGAATGATAGGAGTAGTGTACCCTGCCTCCGGTGGTGTACCACATTCGGGGCCGCTAATCGGCGTAAGCTGCCATCCCGCCTCCTGATCCCGCCTGCTGAAACACAACTGCCACCGACTGCGCTCTTTTCGTTCAAGTCTCTTTAACCCGCACGCTTGCCACCTGCCTGAATTCCTGCTTTCCTCCGATATGTCTCACGCAACTGAGCGGAACGTTGTCATACCACACGATGTGTCATGCAACATGACGAATGGGTTTGGGTGCTCTGTGTCTGTGCGTGTGCATCAGGCATGCTGTGAACGAGCTGCTAGGCGAGGGCGAGGTTGCTCCCCGTATGTACGATGACCTCGGCGACTACGCATCCATCAAGCCGCTGTTCGAGGAGATCATGTCCATCTATAACCGCAAGCGCAAGCCCCTCAATTTGGTTTTCTTCGAGGATGCGCTCGAGCACCTCACGCGTATCCACCGCACGCTGAGGCTGCCGCAGGTAGGCATGTGATAAGGAGAGGGCAAGGTAACACCGGGAAAAGGTGCCATGGGCCGGGGTTTTAAGTTTCGTGGATTGGTCTCGAGAACGTTTTCATCTAGGAGAGGGTGGAGGATGAGCGTGGCGGGAAAAGTCGCATGGATGGCTTCGGCATTAAAAGCCACTATCTGGCATCATGCGTCTCCTTAGTTTTTCAAGCTTATGTTAGCGCATCCTGCCTCCCTGCCCGTCCATACACTAGGGTAATTGCCTGCTGGTCGGTGTGGGCGGCAGCGGCAAGCAGAGCCTGTCCCGCCTGGCGGCCTTCACGGCGGGCTGCGAGGTGTTCGAGATCACTCTCACACGTGGTTACGACGAGACGGCGTTCCGCGAGGACCTCAAGCGCCTGTACGGCATGCTGGGCGCCGATAATAAGCGCGTCATGTTCCTGTTTACTGATGCACACGTGGCGGATGAAGGCTTCCTGGAGCTCATTAACAACATGCTCACCAGTGGGATGGTGCCTGCGCTGTATGACGGCCCGGAGAAGGACGGTCTCATTAGCGGCGTGCGCGCTGAGGTAGGGGAAGTGGCAGGGGATGGCGGTGCCTAGGCCGGGTGCGTGGTCATGAAAAGCAGGCATTCGTAAGGAAAGTATGATGTTTTCAAGCGAGTGTCCCAAGGGAAGTTACCGCAAGCCACAGTCGGTTCGCGAGGGCCAGTGTTGTTTGCATGAGACTAAACCCAGGTTAAGGAGGGGATGGAATGGATACAACAGCCTTCCTTGGAGCCCCTGTCAGAAACGCAAGCACTCTTGCATGCACACCCGAACGCTTCTTCATCCCACAGGTCGAGAAGAAGGGCCTGCTGGCGACCAAGGAATCGTGCTGGGCCTACTACGTGGACAAGTGCCGCAACAACCTGCACGTGGTGCTGGCCATGAGCCCTGTGGGCGAGTCGCTGCGCTCGCGGTGCCGCAACTTCCCGGGCATGGTCAACAACACTGTCATCGACTGGTTCGAGCCCTGGCCCGAGCAGGCGCTCACCAGCGTGGCCACCGTGTTCTTGGCCGAGGAGCAGCTGCCTGAGGCGCTGCGGCCGCTAATCGTGGAGCACATGGTCACGGTGCACCAGAGCGTGAGGACGTTCTCAGCGCGATTCCTGGTGCGTGTGGCATGCGAGCATGGGCGCGGATGGGGTTCCTTAGGCAACGGGTATGGATGGCAAGGACGCTTCCTAAGCCGGCCCATATATACTCAAACACGGACGGCCAGTCCGGCAGTTGCAAGACGACATTGGCCCAAATTTATGAGGAGTTGCTAATTACCCGCTCACTGGGAAGAAGGAGCAGATGTGGGCGCACGTGTGGAGATGGGAGTGCTCGTGCGGGCTCCGTCTGGGTAGGATTCAAGACAGCGCTTACACCTGCGCGCATCGCTCGCCTCGCTCGCCCTCCTTTCGCGCTCCATCCCGCAGGAGGAGCTGCGGCGCTACAACTACGTGACGCCCAAGAACTATCTAGACTTCATTAACAACTACAAGCGCGCGCTGGCTTCCAACCGGCGCACCATCCAGGACACCGTCAGTCGGCTGTCTGGCGGACTTGAGAAGCTTATCCAGGCGGCGGTGGAGGTAGACGCAATGCAGAAGGAGCTCAGCCAGGCCAAGGTGGTTGTGGAGCAGGCTACTAAGGAGTGCAATGAGCTGCTGGAGGTGGGATGGAGGGGTGGGGTGGGGGTTGAGGATTGAGGACCGTAGCCCGACGAGAAGCAGGTGCAAACAGTCCGGGAGGTTGTAGGTGGGGACAGAGGCAGGACAGGGAGAAACATAGAGGGGGGAACTGGGAAGAGTGTCTGTAGCCCGGGGTAGATGAGGAGGAATTTGGGTTCGCGGCTGGAAGTCCTTGAGGAATGCAGCGGCAGAAATGCTTTACCTACCCCCGTTCAAAACCCTACAACTGCCCCTACACGTATTTCCCTGACCCGCTCCCTCTAATAGTGACATCCCTCCTCACCCGTTATCCTCATCATCCTCACTATCCGCTTCGCCCTATTAACCATCGCAGATCATCAGCACGAACACGGTGGAAGTGGAGGCCAAGGCCAAGGCGGCCGGTGAGAAGGAGGCACAGCTCAAGATTGATGCTGAGCAGATCTCGGTGGAGAAGGCGGAGGCGGAGGCGGCGCTGGAGGAGGCGATTCCAGCACTGGAGGAGGCGGCGGCGGCGTTGCAGGACCTGTCCAAGGACCATATCACCGAGATCCGCTCTTTCTCAAAGCCACACGACATGGTCCAGAAGGTGCGAGCAGGCTCTGGGGCCACGCGGCGCGGTCGTGTGGACAGGGTGAAGGGCAGCGACTGCACGGCTTATATTGACTGCGGCTCTGATCCCGCTGGGGGCCTCCTACATGCTTCCCGTGGCACCGCCTTGCGGCTTCTGACGCCCCTACCTTTCCCCCCGTGATATGTCGTCCGGCGGCCAGGTGTGCGAGTGCGTGGTGATCCTGCGCAACCTGAAGGACGTGTCCTGGGCGGGCGCCAAGGCCATGATGGCGGATGGCAACTTCCTGCGCACGTTGCTGGAGTTCGACAAGGACTCGCTGACGGATAAGCAGGTCAAGCGTGTTAAGGAGTACCTCAAGGACAAGAACTTCAACTACGATAGCCTTAAGGCGAGTGACGGCGAAGATTGCTTTTGTTCACATGCAACCCACGAATGTGCTTGTCCTCGGCGCCGCATGGCTGTCGGCATCATGTGCGTGCATGTACACGTCAGTGCTTTGTCAGTGCAAAACACACACGCGCATTCTGTGTGTGAAGGTAGACAGCCTCACTTACCGTATCTTGTGTGCGTCTCCGCGTTCGCAACGCGTCCGCAGAACATTAGTATCGCCGGTGCGGGTTTACTCAAGTGGGTTTTGGCGATGGTCAACTACAACAACGTGGCTCGCACTGTGGAACCTAAGCGCAAGAAGGTGGCGGAGAGCGAGAAGAATCTGCGCATCGCTCAAAAGGACTTGGCCAACACCAAGGCCGAGCTTCAGTCGCTCAACCAGCAGCTCAGCCACCTGAGGCAGCAGTTCGAGGAGAAGACGGCGGAGCAACAAGACCTCAAGGTGCGCCCGTGTGATAAGGAGTTCTGGCAGGGAGTTCTTAGAGGCAGGACATTGCATCTGTCCAAGGATCTGAAACCGGTGACTAGTGCGTCTGATTGCGTCTGTGGAGGAACCCCACAGCAAGCAAAGGTGGCTTGTTGTTTGAGGACTGGCCTCGTTTGTCCGGATGGATGGGTGGTATTTTCTTTGGGGCAAATGGACAGTCCTGTCGCCAAGCCATCCCTCCTGCACACCATCATCCTCTTACCAGTGTCCCGGTTCCGTCCCTCCTACCGTCTCGCCCGCAGGCCAAGGCCGACCTGATGGAGCGCCGTCTGCTGGCCGCGTCCAAGCTCATCGCTGGCCTGGGCTCCGAGCGCGAGCGCTGGACCCGTGACATCGCTGACCTGGAGGCCCGCCGCGACCGCCTCATCGGCGACTGCCTGCTCACTTCCTCATTCTTGTCCTACACGGGCGCCTTCACGGCCACGTACCGATACGCTATGGTGTACGAGATGTGGCAGGACGATGTTCGCGAGCGGGGTGTGCCGCTGACACAGCCCTTCCGACTGGAGTCACTGTTGACGAGTGATGTGGAGACGACGGCCTGGGCGAGTGAAGGGCTACCCAGCGACGAGCTGTCCATCCAGAACGGCATCCTTACTGTGCGGGCCAACCGTTGGCCGCTTTGCATAGACCCGCAGGTGGGTGGGTGTACGTGCGTGTGTAAAGGACTGAGTGAAGAGCGTCTCTACAGGCCACATGTCACAGCCTCCATAGCTTCTCCTCCCGGCCCAACTTCCCAGCCCTTCTACAGACCCCATCCGGACAAGCTACACGCGCTTCTGTGGGTTGGGTTTGTCCTCTCCCTACGGCAGCAACTCCGTTCCCGCACCGCGTTGTAACCCCCACCCCGTTCCTGCCCGCTTTCTTCCCAGATGCAAGCGGTCAACTGGATTAAGAGCCGCGAGGGTAAGATGCTGGAGGGCAAGGTGAAGACGTTTAACGACAGTGACTTCCTGAAGCAGCTGGAGCTGGCTATCCAGTACGGCTTCCCCTTCCTATTTGAGAATCTGGACGAGTACATCGACCCGGTCATTGACCCGGTGCTGGAGAAGAACCTCGTGCCTGGTGGGTATAAGCCGAGGGAGGGGTAACGCGAGAGGGGACAAGAGGACGGGCTGGGGGCCAAGAGTAGGGAGGTTGTGTTGGGAGCCAGGAGGTTGGGTTGGATGAGGAACACTCGCCCTCCCATGATGCCATTTTCCATTGCCCAGTCTGACGCTTCCTCCTCCCGGCCGCCCCTAGACTCCGGTGATTTTCGTCTCTTCCATGTCATGACTCTTGCTGATGGGCCCCGCAGGCAGCACCGGCAAAGCGGTGATCAAGCTGGGTGACAAGGAGGTGGAGTGGGACAACAACTTCCGGCTGTACATGACCTCAAAGCTGTCTAACCCCCACTACGGCCCGGAGATCAGCGGAAAGACCATGATCATCAACTACGGTGTCACACAGCAGGTGCGTGCCGTAAGGAATCCTTGGATGGGACGGAGAACATCGGAACATCGTTAGACGTTCCCAATATACCCTCTCTCTGCGTATGCCATGCCTTCGTCCTCTCCTTGCCTTCCGCCACCTCCCGTTCCCCTCATATGCCCTCCTCCCACATCAAACTTTCACCATCGCAGGGTCTTACGGAGCAGCTGCTGAACGTGACTCTGCGCCACGAGCGTGCTGATCTAGAGGAGGCCCGCGAGGCACTGATCAAGCAGATGAGTGAGAACAAGGCCACCCTGCAGGCCCTGGAGGACACACTGCTGCGGGAGCTGTCCAACGCACAGGGTAATATCCTGGACAACGGAGAGCTCATCGCCACACTGGAGAGCGCCAAGCTGAAGGCGGTGGAGATCGCGGAGAAATTGGAGGCGTCCAAGGTGTGGGGAGGGAAGAGAGGGAAGGGCCCAGTAGGAGCTAAGGTTAAGATTGGTGGAAGGATGAGCTCAGGGTCTGTGGCGCGAGATGCTGGTCCCCCTGCGCCCGCTTTTCGATAAAGGGGATGGTGATGGGGTGTCCTAGTGTGCTGGATAACAATTTGGATTATCAAGGTAGCTACGGGATCATGCGTGCTTCAAGGAGCACGGAAAAAGGTCGGGCAGTGCAATATACGCATATACGCATATACGCTCGTGCAAACCGCCTTACGACCAAGATGGTTACCAGCATTCCTCTCGTGCTCTCGCGAACTGCACGCTTGCGCTGCCCAACGCTTTCACCCCGCTTTACCATTCACCCACCACTTCCCGCACTAAGGTAACGGCTGCCGAGATTGAGGAGACTCGCGTGCGCTACAGCCCCGCGGCCAAGCGTGGCGCCATCCTGTTCTTCGTCATCGCCGGCCTGTCCGCCATCACCAACATGTACGAGTACAGCCTGGCGTCCTTCCTTGTGGTTTTCAACGGCTCGCTGCACAACTCCCGTCGTGACGCCTCCATCGAGGGGCGCCTGCGCAACATCATCGACACGCTCACCTACGACGTGTACGCCTACACTTGCCTGGGTTTGTTTGAGCGCCACAAGCTCATGTTCTCTTTCCAGATGACGTCCAAGGTCCTGGAGGGCGAGACCCCGCTGGATCCGGCGCTCCTGGACTTCTTCCTCAAGGGCAACCTCAGTTTGGAGAAGGCCGCGCGGCGCAAGCCTTTTGACTGGTTCCCCGATGCTGGGTGGCAGGACCTGATGCGGCTGGTGGAGCTGGGGCAGAAGAAGGTGGGGCCAGATGGCCGCATGCACGCATTGGCCAGGTGCGCGTACGAAGGAAGGGAAGGGAAGGGAAAGGAAGGGGGAGGGGAAGGGAACGGGTAGTTACGGGTAGTTAGGGGGGGTTCGGTGTTTGGAGCGCTGGAAAGGGAATGCGGTAATGGTATGGGTTTGCCTGTTCTAAGCTGCTGACCCATCCAGCACCAACCGTCCTTGTGCAGCACATCCGCCCTCCATCCACAGCAGCAGCCTCCACTCTCCCCCACCTTTTGCTCCATTGACCGGCTTTCACCGCCCCCGTTCTCATTCTCGCAGTCTGGCCAATGATATCGAGTCTGACGAGGGTGCCTGGCGGTCCTACTACGACCTGGAGGCGCCCGAGGAGGCGGAGCTGCCCATGGGCTACCACTCCTTCCTCACCGACTTCGAGAAGCTGTGTCTGCTGCGCTGCCTGCGCATGGATCGCGTCACCGTTGGCATCACGCGCTTTGTGATCAGCGTCATGGGTGAGAAGTACGTGCAACCGCCTGTGCTCGAGTACCGCGCCATCTACAAGCAGAGCTCCGAAAACACGCCCATTGTTTTCGTGCTCTCGCCTGGCGCCGATCCGGCCTTCGATGTGTTCAAGTTGGGCGAGGAGATGGGCTTCAGGCCGGGCGCCAAGCTCAAGTACATGGCCTTGGGCCAGGGCATGGGCCCCAAGGCGCAAGAGCTGATTGAGACGGGCGCCACCCGCGGGCTGTGGATCATGTTGCAAAACTGCCACTTGCTGCCCACCTGGCTCAAGACGCTGGAGAAGATTCTGGAGAAGATCACCAAGCCCCACCACGACTTCCGTCTGTGGCTCACCACGGAGCCCACCGACCGCTTCCCGCTGGGAGTGCTGCAGCGCTCACTCAAGGTGCGTTCTGCGGGTCACGCCGGCAGGGGCGTCTGGGTGTTGTGTGCAGCTATGGGGATGCAGGCGTACCAGTTTGTGATGTAGGGCGTTTGTGCTTATTAGTGGTTGTGCGTGCCCCTTTCTCCCCCCACACCCGCTTACACCTTCAACCCGCGGCCCTTGCGGCGCAGGTGGTGACGGAACCGCCCAATGGCCTGAAGCTCAACATGCGTCAGAGCTACTCTAAGATCACGGAGGACGTGCTGGCCGACTGCCCGCATGCAGCCTTCCGGCCGCTGGTCTACGTGTTGGCCTTCTTCCACGCCGTCGTGCAAGAGCGGCGCAAGTATGGCAAGCTTGGATGGAACGTACCGTATGACTTCAACGAGACGGACTTCCGCATCTCCATGGCGCTCATCTCCACCTACCTGACCAAGGCCTGGGACGCTCAGGACGACCTCATCCCCTGGGGCACCCTGCGCTACCTCATTGGGGAGGTACGTGATAGTGCTTCGGCAGCTGTGGCCGAGTGGGGGCCGGGGTTTGGAAATGAAGTCTGCCACTGAGCGCTGCTATCCCCGATTGCCCGACGATCGACAAGGGATCAGCGCACAGAATAGTTTCGGTGGTGAACCGACAGCAGCTCCTTTGTGCAAATCCACCTCGGCCCTCCACATCCTGCGCATTCCTCCCGCATGCTGCGGAAATCTGACCTTCTATGTTAGCTGCGGTGGTGGTTCCGACCGTTCTGATGCGTTTTCCGCGCTGCTGCTCTACTCCGCACTGCTCTATTTCTTCCAGGCCATGTACGGCGGCCGCGTGTCGGACAGCTACGATCGGCGCATTCTCACCACCTACTTGGATGAGTATCTGGGGGATTTCTTGTTCGACACCTTCCAGCCCTTCCACTTTTACGCATGCAAGGATTACGTCATCTCCATCCCATCCAGCGGGCCCCGGGACGTGTACCTCAAGGCCATTGAGGCGCTGCCCCTGGTCCAGGTGGGGGGATGTGGAGCTCTGGGGGCTGCCCTGTGGGACTGGGCAGGGGAAAGGGATAGGAGCGTGGATGCTGGGGCGCATGCCGTTCGTTGGGTTGGGTACAGTTGGGATGTTACTAACTCACGGACAGGGGGCTGCAACTACTGCGCGAGGGTTAGCACTAACTGTGGGCTTATGCTGCTTCCTCTCGCGTTCCAGAGCCCGGAGGCGTTCGGTCTTCATGCCAACGCCGACATCTCCTACTACACCTCCGCGACCAAGGCCATCTGGGCCGACCTGGTGGACCTTCAGCCGCGAACCGGTGGCGGCGGTGGCGGCGTGGGCCGTGAGGAGTTCATCGGCGGCGTGGCACGTGACATCTCCGCCAAGATCCCCGAGCCGTTCGACCTGCCCCAGCTACGCAAGGAGCTGGGCACACCCAGCCCCACTCAGGTGGTACTGCTACAGGAGCTGGAGCGCTGGAACGGCGTCCTGGCGGTCATGGTCTCCTCCCTGCGGGACCTGCAGCGCGCGCTGAGTGGCGAGATCGGCTTCTCCTCCCGGCTGGAGGAACTGGCGTCCAGCCTCTTCAACGGCAAGCTGCCGGCCATGTGGGCCCGGCTAAATCCCGCCACAGAAAAGGCTCTGGGTGCCTGGATGCTGTGGTTCGGCCGGCGGTACAAGCAGTACAAGGATTGGACGGAGCATGGAGAGCCGAAGGTGATTTGGCTGTCCGGTCTGCATATACCGGAGACCTACATCGCAGCGCTGGTGCAGGCGGCCTGTCGCGACAAGGGCTGGCCGCTGGATAAGTCGACGCTGTACACCAAGGTTACCAAGTTCACAGACCCCTATCAGGTCACGGAACGTCCGCGCTACGGCTGCTACATGACGGGGCTGTACCTGGAGGGCGCTGCGTGGGACATTGAGGAGGGGCAGCTACGCAAGCAGGACCCCAAGGTGCTGGTCACGGAGCTGCCCATCCTGCAGGTAATCCCAATTGAGGCCAACAAGCTCAAGCTCGCCAACACCTTCCGTGCACCGGTCTACGTGACCCAGGCGCGACGTAACGCCATGGGCGTGGGCCTGGTGTTCGATGCAGACCTGGCGTCCAGCGAGCACTCGAGCCACTGGGTGCTGCAGGGGGTTGCGCTTGTGCTCAATATTGACCAGTAAAAGGTAGACTTGGCACGGAGGGTGGCGCAGCGAGGGCAAGTAGGTCATTAGGGACTTTCATTCCGTCAGCAGCAGCAGGGGCTTTGGCCAGGAAGGAGGGAGCTGGCTTTGACTTTGGGTTGTGCCGGGGTTGGGCGCCGCCACACCATGCGCAGCTTGAGGCAACGGCAAAGGGACTGCAGCTGATGGGCTGGCAGTTGGCTATTGGAGCCAAGCCTCAGTGGCGGTGAAGTGCGCAGGACGAATAACTGGTGGATTTGCTTCGGCTAAAATGGTGTTTCATAGTGGAACTGGAGGCACGTGGCCTGCGTGCGAAAAAATGCGTGAGAGTGTTCGGATTAGTGTAGGGGTTTTGTGATTTTCTGATCCACGATTGCGTAATATTTCAGGGATAGTGGTGGTGATACTGATGTTTATTGCACTGCATGCGGCTGTGGACAGGGATAAGGCGATTGTCGCCCGTCGTCGACATTTCGCAAAAGGCCCGTTGGTCTGTTCAGTTGGCCGTTTTCCAAACTGCCGTAAGCTTTTTCGTGTGCGCTCACGTCCGTTGTATTCCGGCTATGCTGTGGGAGTGGTGTCGAGCAAGAGGCAAACAGGTAACAGCGCGCTGGACCTGTTTCGTTTCTGTCATTTTTTCCTCATTTTGCACAATATTTAAGTACGTGCATACATAAATAGTTGCGCCTGGGCAACACAAGGACTCCTCTAACTCGGGTTGGGCTTTGTTTGGACATTGCTATCTGGGGGGAGCATGGTGAGTGAGGCTCACTTCGCCGCTCTCCTTTGCTTAGCTGGCCACAACCATGCAACCCCGGCAACGGGCAATAATTACACTGCTCTGAACATTGGGGCACCCCAATATCGAGCACCACCCGAGCTTGCGGAAGTCCGTACCACACTGTTCTTGCTTGGAGTGTCGCGCGTCGCGTCACGGTCCATGTGGAGATGGACGGGGCGCCCACACGGAAGTATACACGCCTATGTGGCCAGGAACGCAACCTGATGTAACGTCTCCAACGCAGAGTATTGGAAGGCAGTGGTGGGGAAGGTCGGTGTGGCGTCGCGTCACCTAACCAAACCAATGGGCAAACCCATTACTTCACGTGCACTGTGCCAACTGGCTCTTCGTCCCTCCCGTAAAAGGACGCAACCTCACCAACCTCATCCTCGATCTCACGCCGTCTCGGTCGTTTCCAACAGTTGCACAAACATGGAGACCAACTAGATGACGTTGGTCCCTTACACTCGCCACGCACTGATTCATCCTCCTGCAGGTTATGTACGGATACACACCGTCAACAGACCTCTATGTAGGTAATCCTGTGTTGCTAACGCCTCATCCGAGTTCACTCAAACACCCAAGACTGCTATAGTGGTCTACAATGATGTAAAAAATAACGAGCTAAAAATTGAACACGTAGTTAAACTCCTGCTTGCCCCTGCATATATAGCGAACATCCCTACAAATTACGAAACGCTTCAATTAGCAGCTACAGTGCACCAGTGTGGTGGTGTGAATATGCATGACACGCACCTTGTCATCAAGTAGACTGATGAAATACAGGCAAAGCAACTCACTCACACACACTCACACACAACTTCACTCTTAGCCTCCCGCGTCCCATCCATCCCCTCACTGCTGCGCTCGTCCCCTCTCACCATACAAAAACTCGTCATAAGTAATTTGATCGCTACCTTCATCAGAATCAGAATCGAAGTTCTTGTACCGCGTCTCCAGGTGGAGGCCCGTTTCGTACTGAAGCCGCGTTACCATACGGTCTAGGCCCACTCGGAGAGCATCCTGTACGACAACTACACGACCCGCACCCGCCGCCACCGGCAGCTGCGAAGCAGCCCGGTCTCCAGCGTCACCATCACCTGCGGTGCCTGGGCCACTGGGCAGCTGCCTCCGGTCCATACCCGGTCGAATACGTGAAGATGCGGCTGCTTCCGCGGGAGGCATGGACATACCTGCAGGCTGAACAGCTCTGGACACGGCGTCCCCTGCCGCATCTGCCAGCTCCTGGCCCCCCTCCATTCCCCCGACCAGCCCTCCGCCGCCACTGCCGCTCGCCGATGACCACGCAGCCCCCGATGCGACCCTGGAAGTCTCCCGGTCCCGATCCGTGGAGTCAAACGCAGAGTCCTGGTCTCGGAATCGCTCCAGGGGGCCTGTGACGCCAACATCATCATCATCCCGCTCTGTGCTATCCTGCTCCCGTTGCGGCTGTAGCTCCGTCAGGAGTGGCTCCTGTTGCCGTACTGCCGCCGCCGCATAGGCCGCCTGGGCCAGGGATGCTTGGCCTCTGAGCCCCTGTCGCTGCTGCAGCTCGGCCAAGTTGGACAGCTGCAGCGGGCGGAGGGGTGGGTCCGGAGGCGTGGAGAACTGTCCTGCGGAAGGTGAGGGGCGTGCCAGCTGCTGCTGCTGCTGCTGGCAGGCGAAGGGGTACGGCACTGGCATGTGGAAGATGTCCGCACCTGTACGGACGCCGGGCCGGGGGTTGAGGAGCGGGGTTAGGAAATGAGAATCATCAACAGAGCCCCGATTGCTAATCTCCACCCAGCTCCCTTCAGTTCCCCGAAGCTCCACCTGCCGCCTCACTTTCCCTTCTCCCCGCGTTCCCTGCCCCTCCCCTACCCATGCCCCTTCCCCTCTCAACCCCCCACACGCGCACCCCTGTGCCGAATGATGCTCTCGCCCCACGCCACCATGACCGCCATCCCCACTGCCCGCACAGCCGCATCGGATACCTCCCCCGCGGGACATAGGGCCCGTTGCAGTCCCGACAGGGAGTCCAGGAACTGAAAGTGACCTGAGGGGGCGGGGAGACGGAGGAGGGGGAGGGGGGCCGGGCAGAGAAAGGGGTTTGTGGGGCGACCGGGCCGAAGGACTTACTGACTATAAGATGCTCACTCTTGCGGGGGATACCGGAGGGTTTGGGGTGGGGGGCAGGACGAGGGGTTCAATCACGTCATGCACTGCATTACCGTGCGCGTTGCTGTCGTACGTAGGTACTACGTGTAAAGATACGGTGTAAGGCATTACAGTGCAGTATGGTACAGTTAAGTTCCGCAACTCCCTCGTCCTGCACTCCCGCCGTCGCCCCTCCCCGCCCCGCACTGACCTGCTTCCGGGATGGCCACCTCCCAACTGGGGGCTGTGGAAGCCGCGAAGAAACGCCGGTAGTTGGCCTGCACAGGCGAGTTGGTTGGGGGCCCCCCCATGGATGGATCCAAGGGGGAACGACCGATAGCGGTTGGTGGCTACGCATCGGAGTACGTTAACAGTAGTGGCTTTAAAACTGACTGGTTTAAAACATCGTTGATAAGAGGTCCCACCCATCTTCCCACACACAGCCACTCCGCCGCAACCCCCGGTCGAATGTCTCCAACCCCCTCCCCGGTGTACAACCTCCCGCTACGAAGACCTCCCGCCCTAAGTAGAGCTGCCGAGTGTATTCCCACACATCCCGACCGCGGCCCCCTTATACCCCCCTCCCTCCGTCGGGACCTCCCTCCCTCTTTCCGCCCCCACGCAGGCCGCCACCCCCCTTCCCGCACCCTCCAGGAACCTTCTCCCCACACACACCCTGACAGTCGGGCCACCAACCCACCTGGCGCGGTGCACAGTCCCCTCCCAGGCCTCCTCCCACAGCCGCCAGGGGCAGGGGCCTCTCCCGCGGCATGTTACGTAGGGCAGCCAGGGCTGAGGGGAAACTGCGAGGCGGGGGTTGAGGGGCCCCACAGGCGGGGACGGGGAGAGGGGGGGGGGGAGGGGGTTGGGCACGGAGTGGGACAGTAATCGATACATACGTGCAAGGACGTTTCCACCCCTAACCCCTCTCCAATCCGCTCCCCTCCCCCCAAAACCCTGACTACTTTTTTCCCCCCACCCCCGAAACTCCTACCAAGTTCTACTGGCCCCTACACACACGTACCCCTTCCCCCCTTCCTCCACCACTTACCCCGGCGCCAGTGGCGCATACACGGTGTTGTCCACGGGGTCTATGAGGCACAGCGCCGCCACCCTGGCGTCCTCCGCACCCGCCAGGGCCGCCAGCTTGCCGCCCCTGGAGCCGACATTAACAAACAACCGCCACCGGTGAAGGGTGGAGGATATGGCGGTTCCGGAGCTGCCCAGGCACCAACTGCTGCACCCCTCCACTGCGCTCCACTCTTCACTCACTCAGAAGTGCATCAGGTAGGACCTCCCTTTCAGACATACACACACATACACACCGCTCCACCCCTTCCCCCCTCCTCCGTCTGGTACACTCTTGCCCTGGCAGCAGCTTCACTCGTTTGCATTTCGTCTTTCCCCCCTCCTCCCTGCCCCGCCAGCCATATCAGTGTCAGTTTATATCCTCCTTGGCATCAGCTTCATTCGTTCACGTGGTGGTTCGTCTTCCCCCCCAGCCCTACCTGGAGTGCCCCACCATGTACACCCCGGCATCCGGATCAGCTAGTCGTCGCATCAACGGGTCCGTACTCGCCCAGTCCATCAGCTCCACCAACAACCGTACACATGCAGCGTCGTCCAGGAGAGAAGCAACCGTTTCGTTGCGGTCGTACATTAGTACGGCGTACCTGTACGGCAAAGCACATGGAATGCAGCCAGGGAGAACATATGGTCGACGGGCCGCTAGAGTGTAGGAGACGGTGTTTGCCCGCAGCCCCTCTATACCCAATCCTAGTTCGCTGTAGCACCCTCCCTCTTTCCCTCCCTCCCGCGCGTGAGCTACTCCCCCCCTTCCCCCAGCTCCGAAACCCACCCAGCCCACAACCCCGGCACGGACAGGCGCTTGCCGCTGACTCACCCCCAGCTGGCCAAGCGCTCCGCGTACGACATGTACGACTCGCTCCCTAGCAGGAAGCCCGCTGAGAACACTGCCAGTGGGAAGGGCGGGCCCAGTCCCAGCTCGGGACCTCCCTGCGAGGTGGGGGGTGGGAGCCAGCAGGGGCGTCCGGAGGGGGTAAGACGAACCACTGACGTTTTGAGTTTACGATTGACGGTGCGGAGGGGGGAGGGACGGGGGGGAGGAGGGAGGCATGTTCGCCAATCAGGTCGACACTTGCCGGCGGTTAGGGTCGTTAGGCCGGTCTGGTTTTAATTCAATTAGGTCTTCAGAAGGAGAGCTATCCGGGGAGTGTGTATTGTTGTCAGGCCGTGCCGTGTCAGATCTAACCAGCACAAGCTGCGCGGGGTTGGGTCCCATTGCGGCTCCCCATGCCGGCGAGTAATCCCTCCCCCTTCCCTCCCCCTCCCCTTCCACCTTGGGGTACACCACCTCCACTCTCAAGGTGCAGCTGCCGTTGACACACGCGGGGAAGCACGAGCTGCACGTGTGCTCGAGCCGCGGCAGTCGGGCCACCCCCAGCGGCCCCCCCCTCGAGTAATCCGGACGGACCAGGAAGGGCGCGTAGAGCTGACGGCACTGGGCCGGGGTGCGCTGCGCAGACACATAGACAGGGAAGGGAGGGGGAAAGCGAGGGAGCGGGAGGTTTACTTCCGGATTTGAAGAAGAGGAGGGGACCGATGGAGGGAGGGGACCGATGGCAGGGCATCATCGCTGAGTGTGTGGGGGGCCGGTGGGTGGGAGGAGAGGACAGAGGAGGGCTGTGGGACTGCCGTCTTCCTGTCTCTTTCCCCTCACTTTCTTTCCCCTCCCCCTCTTTCCCCTCCCCCTCTGTCCTGAAAGAGGCCCCCCCCAATGCGGGAATACGAGTCTCGTACCTGCACCGCGCGAGCAGCCCCCGGGGCAGCCAGGCAGGAGGCCATCACAGAGCCCGTGAACGCGGAAGCTGCCGCAGCAGCCGCCAGCAGCAGCAGCCTGCGGGGGACTGCACCACCCTCACTTGCGCCCTCACCACCTGCTACTGCTACTGCTGGACCGCCTCCGGGCTTTTCAAGCCTGCTGTTGGAGGCCCTGGGGCCCCCACCACGGCCCCCAGCTCTGGCACCATCCGTGCTACTGCCGCCACCGCCATTGCCTCCGCCACTGCCCACTGCAGGTTCTTCCCCCTCATCTGCCGCTGTTGGTCGCGTTGCCGGGGGAGCAGGCAGTTGGGGAGGGCTGTCTGAGCTGTGAGGGACGTGGGGCAGCTGGCCTGGTGGCTTATCGTCTGAAGGGAGCTGGTGGCGCCAACCAGGCGAGGGAGGACACCGCCACCACCGCCCTGGAGCCCTGGTCGGCTGAGGCTGAGGCTGAGACTGTCCTGGCTGCGGAAGTGGAGGGGCAGCGCCACTTGGGGATTTCCACGGGGTTATTGGAGTAGTACTGGCGGGAGCTGGGCTTGACGACTGCGACCTGGCATGGGAGAGCTGTGCTCCAAGAGACACGGCAGGCGTGAGTAGTGATATGGACGTTGCTGCTGATAGCCCTGTCGTCATGGCTGTAGACTGTGTTCGGGGATGAGATGGCACAATTGTTGCTGTCTGCGCTTCTGGGACAGCATCCGCAGGAGTTGATCCATTGGTTGAGCTACGATCCTTCGGCTGTCTGGTTGAAATTGAGCTGCAAGGGATCGCTGATGGATGTCCCCGCTGCGTCCGCCCTGCGGGATGCGTGGCCCTGCGGGTCCATGGACGGCTGTGGGAGCGGCTACCCGAAAGGAAAGCGCTTTCACAAACGGATGTGCTAGCCACCGTGGGAGGCAAGTGCAGCGCTGTGCCCCGCACCGCCCACGAGAGATCGCGCCAGGGCGCTGCAGGGGTTGGAGATTGCGTGTGAAGGCCGCGATGGTGCATTTACTCCTGGAGTTGCGGCTTCGGGACAGTTCATCAAACTACGGTGACATCGCGACATCTAGTTGCGCTACAAGGTTGCAAACACGTTTGTGGGATGCCGAGTATGCGCTTTGGAAGGATGCATAGGATCAATGTATAGATATAAAGATCTGAAGCACATATACGCAACGCGCGCTGTCGCGGACTGAAAACAATCCATAGGGGCTCATAATGACAGTTTGCAGTTGCCGTACCTGATGATTCGGAATTGGGGGGTCCACCTAAGCATGGCAATGGTTACTCCCATAAGGTGTTAAGGCTTTACCTATTGACTTTGCAAGTTTTCTCAGGAGGTTGCACAGCATATTGGAAATGGCGGAGGCTGCAAAGAACGCGTTGAAAGCCCTGAAGGACGTCCTTTATCGTGTTGGTGTCAAAGAGCCGTGGAAGATGACTGGCGTGCGCAGCTTGCCGGACTATGAGCACTATATGCCAATGGGCCTCGAGTACCGGAAATTCGCACCCGGGTGAGCAGCCCGCCTCAGCTTTTATTCACATTTTATGTAAACCAAGAGAAAGGCTTAGGGTTCTGACACGTCGTGGGGCACTCCGCAGGACACAACCGGTGAAGGCTCGCGTTCCACACGATTCTCCGAAGCTGGTCTATGATATTAAGTACTTCGGTAAGGAGTTGGTGTCCTGGATGCGACGGTGCCAGTTCATCGCTGAGCAACGATGAATGCCTTGCGCAGTTCGTGATTATCGCCGCAACAACAAGTACACAGCACGCACGGTGGATAAGTCGCCCTTTGACTTTGAGAAGGTAACCTGGCGCAGTCGGATGTTACCAGCCTATTTAACCTCCGCAGTTTATCCACACGCCTCTCTCCCCCTATTACTCCCCATGCACCCTGCGCCTTCAGATGTTTGCCAACGCACCCCTGAAGCCTGAGGAGGTAAGCGGCTTCAAGGGCATAGCCTCCTGGACATGGGCGCGTCTATACCTGCTGATGATTGTCAAGATGCAACATGCGACACACAGCAGGATGCGGGTTTTGCTCATTGCCAGAGAATTCAGATGGCAATGGGAAGTCGCAATAGTGGTCACCTCAGCACCTCAGCTTTGCAACGCGTTCGAGGATGTGGAGTGTCCCTGGCGTTGCTGGTAACCCAGGCGGCTTGACGGTTATGCAGCGGTTTGAAGTGGCCAGACAGCTCGGTCAGATTGGGACTTGGCCTTTTCCCATACAGCACTGCTTCACAGCAGCGGCTGCCCTCCCAGGCTGCACATCACCCTCTGGAGAGCACCCACCCTCTGGCATGCGGACTCAGTCCACCTAACCCCAGCCCATGTGGCTCAGCTACAGACGGGCAACGCCATCGCCGTGGGATGGACCTCGCTAGCTTCTCTAGCGACAACCTTGCATCGCAGCTCTGGCGCCAATTCACATCTGTCTTCCTTCGGTTACCAGCGTGTCTTATCCTGATCCGTCATCCTGATCCATCCCGACCCATCGTTCTCACTGTTGGTCATCATCATCCTTATGCACACAACTCCGCAGGTCAAGTTCGTGCCGCGGCCTGCAACCATGCCGACCCGTGGCTTCTGAGCGCTGCAATGATTATGGAGCGCTTAGATAAGATGTTGGCGGGTCTCGCCTGTCCTTCAAAGCGCCGCGAGCGCCGCGGCGAAGGTTTGCTGCCGCGGTGGTATACGAGCACGGACGAGGTCGGGGTTGAGGTCCCAGTTGGCCTATGCGGGCCTACAAGTGGAGTGAGAGCAGGGTCCGACCTGGCTGACCTGGGGTTTCGCGGCTGACCCTGCGCTTTCTTGGTGATTTCCACACAGCGGTAGGGGTAGCGGTAAGGGTAGGGATAGGGGGCCCAGGTAGCCGCGTCCTTCCCATCCTGGGTTATTCCACGCAGTAGGGGTGGGGGTGGGTGGCCGCTACAGTACCTGGATCTCGACAACAACCACGACCCGGTTGACGTGGTGCCAGTCTCGTCCTGCCCTTGCGCTGTCTAACGACCACCACGTTGCCGCCATGGATTTCCGATCGCCACTGGGTGGATCGGCTGTGGAGCAGCGAAACAAGCTCAGGGTGGAATGGTTAACTCAATCGGCTGTTACGTGTTGCGCTTAACAACCCCTTTGTTGCATGCCTGGGCTGGACAGTCGGAATGCGAAGTGGTGGTGTGTGTGTGTGAGTGTGAGAATGTCGGTGTCTTTATGCGTTGGGTTCTGAACGCGTTGATCTGAAACCGCCACGTGGTAGGAGGCCCTGGCATTTAGAGGAGCATGCGCCACGCATGTGGCCTGTGTCGCATCGCACATTCCACTGGCCATGGTTGCGGGTCGTGTGCAGAAACGCGTCTTGTACTGGCAGAGACCGTCTTTTCGTGGAGTCGTCCGGGAACGATGGCGACGTAGAGGATGCGAGGACGATGCAGAGGACCGGGCTGTGTGGACATGTAGAGCACGCTGTCTGGTGTTCAGCTGTAGCCTGATGGGTTCCCAACAGCTAAGTCCGTCATGGTACGTTCCTTGGAGCAAGCCGGGGCGAGCAGGGCAGTGGGGGCGCATGTTGTGTGCAGATTTCTATTAGCCTTGTGCGCAGGTCTATTAGCCTATGGAGGCCTATGTCGGCATGAGAAAATCAGTTTGAAAGTAGTGCGGTAGCCTTTACCACCGAGCACCACAAAGGGAGCGATATAGGCAAGGCAGCATTTGGGCTCTTCCCGGTTGTCATTTCCGCAACCCATCCGATCTGTGTAATGTAAGGCGCTCATAGAGCGCAACCTACGTCGTTCCGATGTTGTTCCACTGTCAGCAACAAGTCACTGTCAGTCCTCAGCATCACGGTCACCCGTACACTTTGCCTCCCAGCTTCCATCCCACCACACCTCGCGCTCCACGCCGTCAAGTGTACAGCGGAGCACGGTAAGTCCCAAACATTCCGAAATGCTGCACTCTCTCACGCCGCCTCCATGTTATATTATCCTAACTAAATGATATTTCCCCCCCTCCCACACACACATCCCGTAAGTCTTGGCCATCTGGCTCCGCCGTCCGTTCCACACCATCACCCTGCTGCCATCTAGAATCGTGAAGAGTGTCTCCTGCCATGATTTGATTTACCCACTATTTGGACAAACTGCAGTGCACCGCCAGAGCCATAACGGGGCTCCAAACAGACGAGAAAAACACAATCGTGCGCTCAAACCGCAGAATGACAAAGGCCGCATCCCCTGCAAAGTTTTAATGCCTCGCTCGGTGCACATCTGGGCGACCCATAACTATATCCAGTAAACTCACACCCACCTCACGTCCACAGGCCGCACCCTGCCCTGCTAACCTCTCACCGAGCACCGAAGCACACATGCGGCCAGAGAGGTTTGCAAGAAAGGACAAGAAACGCCCCAAGCCAAGGTACATAGGGAACTTGCTCCCTAACGCAAAATATTCCTTTTGGTAAAATCTGCCCATACCACCCACCCTTTTAACAGAGCGCCAGGCAGCCAGGACCAGCTGAGCTGAGCTGAGCACACACCACGCATTATCATTTTCGCGTCGTCCAGTAAACATGAAACGCATGAGCCCGATACCCTACCCCGCACACTGCGGTGCGGCCATGGCAAAATACAGACGAGCGGACAGCTAAGGCATTAAGTTAGGCACTGACACTAGCTGATCAGCCGCAATTGCAATGGGCCCGATCTGGGTTGCTGCTCAAGAACCACAGCTACCGGATCCCGTTTCCTCAAAGTTGATGATGCCGGGCCGAGACTTGCAGCGATTGGAATACACCGCAACCCCGCATCAACCCCGCCCAGGCCACCGGGCCACGCACCACAACATCGTGCCTCGTGCATCGCCACCATTATGAGAGACGCTCAAACAGCTGTAGCAACAACAACAACAATAGCAGAAGCAGCAGATCCTTACCAGCAGGTCAAGCTACAAGATCGACGAAACCGCTTCACGCATGCATTGTACTCTTCCTCCTTCCGCCAACATCTGTTTGACCAACGGCACAAACACCAAAAAAGCTACTACGAGCTGCGTAATCCTTCCTTGGCCCACATGCAACCCACTACTTGGTGGAACGACCCACAAAACAAGATATGCCCCTCTCCCTGCCACCGACGACGACGGACAGACCGCATCATATACGGCACAGTGTACGGCACGACACTAAGGTGTCCGTCCACCGAAAGTACGCAGCTATGAGGGCGTCACTACCAGAAACAAACTTCGTGATGGCCCCCTCCCTGGACTGACTAGACTAATTGCCCAGGGACCCGTGATGCAGCGAACGGACCAAGGATGGATAGCCCAGCAGCAAACCGGGATGGGACGTCCTACCCCGCTGTGCCGCGCTCCTCACACAAGTGTGCACGTTCTCGGGCCCACACGTAGTAGGGCCCTATCCACATGAAGCCCCACTCGCCAAGTACATATCTAGCAACACGAGGCCCAGCCCCCTCAACACGAGAGCACGCCTGTCCCGACCCAACACCTGGGTCAACCAGACCCTCACTTAAAACCCCCCTCACACAGATCCATCAGATTATAACGCCCCTTTGGCAAGACGGCTTTCTTCAGCTGTTTCACACCAAGTCAAATTCTGAGTAGCACACGTCGCACCGCAAGACTCTCCTGGCCTCCCTCACTCGTTCCCTCGCGCCTTCACACCTCTCTTGCCCGGGGGCAATGGACGCCGCAGAGGTCCAAGAATTCCATCATCATTACCATGCACCGCCCAATCGCCCGCCGCGACATAAAAATGTTATTTACCGATGTCCACATCGGGGGGGTGGTTTCTACATAACATAAATGTGGATGTGTCGTACAATGCAAGCTCTACCGAGGGTAGTCGTACGACATCTTGTGATACGATACAGATACAGTTCAGCAGCCTCCAAGTACCATAACTTTTCTGCTCGTGTCTTCCCGGCTTTGTGGTTGTCCTTATACGGATTGTAAAAAACATGTAAATGATAAAAGCTAAAAAAAACATCAACACGCCCTACCACCTTTGTCAGGGGGTCCGCTCACACCCTCGCTTGCACCCCCCGTGTGTAGCCGCTGGTCGAGTAGAGGCGGCCGCAGCAGCTTAAACAGCTTTCCAACACGACACCAAGATGATCCATCGCCCATTACACCCGCCAAAAAACAGGCACGTCAGAAGCCAAGATTTTGTCACCACCAAGACATGAAACCTCCCGTACAGCATTAAAAACTTCAAGTCTCTTGTACGACCAACAGCCCGTCGGGTCCGGAATGGAAAAGACACATATCGGGGGGAAAAAAAGGATCGCCAGTTCGACAAGAGTACGCTAGGATTGAACTAAACACCTCAACTGATGTATGTCCTCCTCCTCCGCCTCCTCCTCCTATGTCAGACACCCGGCGCGCCCCCCTCGTAAACTAGTGGCAACCCTCGTAAACTAGCCACATCGTGCGACAAGGCTGCATAGCTAACAGGGCCATGGAAGTCCCCAATCTGGGATGACCGACTCTTGCCGACTGAGTCCGGAGTGCGTCCTAAGGAGCAGCGCGACCTCCTCCGCGTGTAGCAGCAAAGCACTGCTACAGACCCAGGTACAGACGTACATATCGGTGTCTTTCCAAGAACCACACAGCAGCTCCAAATTGATCACACCATAACCCTCCGACACGGACTTGACCAACCCCAAAAGTAAAGCGAGGCGCAGCGAACGCCAGGAAGTGTTATGTGCCATAACACTCGGCACGTTTGTATGCACACGTACATACACACGGACACGCAAGCTACAAAGCACACATGCATACATCCAGGCACCCAGGCCCCTCTCGCACTAGTGTTTCCCCCCCCCCCATCACGCGGCGGCGCATTGCGCCCGTCCCTCTCCCGCCTAGCTGTCCCCCCCTAGCTAGCTAACTACACACACACACACACACCCCTCATCCGAGTACTCGCATCGTGAGATTCTGTGTGGGATGGAAGTGGTCAGCGGAGCCCTCGTCGTACTGAACAGACAATTTGCTGTCCGTACAGGCCACGACACGGCCCTGCATCCACACGCCCTCCACGTCATACAAGACCTAGGGAAAAGGAGGGGGGGGGAAATCGGGGGAATGTGGGTTTCAAACGGGGTTCCCAAACACACACACATGCACCTTCTGGTCTGGGTTGACACTACTGCATTTAGCGGTTTAAGGTCCTGGGTTCGATTCCTGGGGAGACCCCCGAATTAGTCGGGAGCGCGAGATTATGGCTAGCTGCTGAGATGTGGAGTTGAGGTCACAGTTGATGGACCAGATTCGCACGCTGGATTGGTAGGTGGCGATTGCCGAACCCTCCGTCTCTTCGGGTGTTCGGGTGAATGGATGAGGAGGGGTCCCTGAAGGCAGGATCCGCCGCCTTGGACTAACAGTTCGTATGGCGAAGTACAGTGTGGTAGTGGTGGATGGTGCTATAAGGTGATAAATGATCTAGAACTGACAATGTGATAAAGCGGCCCAGAAGCCTCCCACTCTGTAACATTACATTATATTACATGCACCTTAAAAAATAACAAACTTAACTGTCGAACTGAAGTATCGTGTGCATACATCGTGTACACGGCCGTTATGGATTCGCTCGTCCTAGGATGGTCCCACCCTCCAAGATCTTACCGCGACTTGTCGCCCTACAGCCGTAAGCCCCAGCGCGAAGAGCTGCTGTAGCACCCCCTGCCCAGCACTGCTACTGCCCGCCCCGCTGGCTGTTCCCAGGGGCCCACCAGGACCAGGCAACACCATACCAGTGCCGCTGCCAGCCGTGTTTGTCGCGGTGACGGCAGGGCTGGACGTGCCCACGGCGACCGCTCCTTGCTGCCGCATAACACCCGTCGTCGCGGCCGCCGCTTGCTGCTGTTGCTGCAACTGCTGCTGGTGTTGAAGCTGCTGCAATTGCTGCTGCTGTAGTTGCTGTTGTTGTTGTTGTTGTTGTTGTTGTTGTAGGTGTTGGTGCTGTATCTGCTGTTGCTGCAATTGTTGTTGCTGTTGATGTTGTTGTTGCAATTGGTGCTGTTGGAGGTGTTGCTGTTGGAGGTGTAGCTGGTGCTGTTGCAATTGCTGTAGCTGCAGGTGCTGCTGCTGCGCGTGTTGTTGTTGCTGCTGCTGTTGTAAGTGTTGCTGTTGCAAGTGCTGCTGTTGAAGGTGTTGGAAGTGTTGCTGGTGTGCGTTATGCTGTTGCAGCTGCTGCTGCTGCTGCTGCTCCATATGCTGTTGTTGTTGCTGCATTTGCTGCTGCAGCAGCTGCTGCTGTTGCATTTGCTGTTGCTGCATTTGCTGTTGCTGCATTTGCTGTTGCTGCATTTGCTGTTGCTGCATTTGCTGTTGCTGCATTTGCTGTTGTTGCATTTGCTGTTGCTGCATTTGCTGTTGTTGCATTTGCTGTTGTTGCATTTGCTGCTGCTGCATTTGCTGCTGCTGCATTTGCTGCTGCTGCTGTTGTTGCAGCTGCTGCATTTGCTGCTGCTGCGGCACCATTCCTGCTACAGCCGGGCTCCCACGACTGGCCCCTCCCCCTCCCGTCATTGCCGCTGCTGCTACTGCGCCGCCGCTAGCCGCATCGTAGGCTCGGGTCCCGGTCACCATTGCTGCCACAGTCCCGGCCATACCGCCGCCCAGCGCTTCCAAATCCACCATCCCCAAGTGTGGCGCCCCCGGTGCTGGTTGAGCTGGCGGGCCTGAAGGCCGTCCTGGGACCGCCTGCTGCTGCTGCTGTTGCAGTGCATGCTGCTGCTGCTGTTGCGGTTGATGGTGAGGGTGTTGTCCGACAAGGCCCATGCGTCCCCCCCCATGCGTCATTTGGGCTCCGACTGCCGTACCGGGGTAAGCCATGGACTGCTGCTGCTGCTGCGCTTGCGGCATGCTGGAATTGTGTCCCTGCTGAGTCGCTCCTGGCGCTGGCCCTGGCCCTTGCGTGGGACCCCCAACAGCGCCGCCTATCCGGGGGCTGGATGCGTGCTGGCTGCCCGCGGTGGGAAGCAGCACGCGCTGCTGCTGCTGCTGCTGTTGCTGCCCAGCTGCCTGCTGCATAGCCTGTTGCATTTGTTGCTGTTGCATTTGTTGCTGTTGGATTTGTTGCTGTTGTTGCTGCAACTGCTGTTGCTGCTGTAATTGCTGCATCTGCTGTTGTTGCTGCATGGGTTGCTGTTGCCCAACAGCCTGCTGCATAGCCTGCTGTTGCTGTAACAACTGCTGCTGTTGTTGCATTTGATGTTGAATCAGCTGTTGTTGCTGTTGCTGCACAAGCTGTTGTTGCTGTTGTTGCATAAGCTGCTGTTGCTGCTGGTGCAACTGCTGAATCTGCACCTGCTGCTGTTGTTGCTGCTGAACTTGCATCTGCTGTTGCTGCAGCAATTGCTGTTGCTGTAGCGACAGCTGATGCGGATGCGGGTGCAGCATTGTAGCGACCTGTAGGGTCTGTTGCGGCGGCACCGGCTGAGGGGGGCCGACCGCCGCAACACCGCTGGCCTGAGAGACAAGTTGTGGCTGCTGCTGCTGCTGCGGCGGCGGCGGCTGGGGAGAAACCGTCTGGGGCCCCCCGCCGCCGCCGCCGCCGCCGGCAGCCGCCGTGACGACCGCAACACCATCCACAGGTCCGCTGCTCTCTGTTGGGAGCGTTGGTGTGTGTTGGTATGTGCCAGGGAGCCCATTGCTGCCTGAGCCCCGCCCCGGGGCCCCCATGCCCGCTCCCAGCCCAGTCATGCTAGGGGAGCCCCGGCTCGCCTTCGCTGCAGCCGTGGCACCGCCGCCGCCGCCGCCGTTGCTGCTGGCTCCGAAACCCGCCGCCCCGGCAGGCGGCGCTGCCGTAAGGCTGCTCACGCTCCGAGTCTTTTTCGGCGGCTTCGGGTCCAGCGCCGGACTGCTACCTGACTTGCGCTTCGGACTGCTCATGGCCGCCATCACTGCCGTGGAGCCGCCGCCGCCGCCGCCTGAGACCGCCGTCCCGCTCGCCCCCGGGGCACCACCCGCCGCGGGTGTCCCAGGCGCCGCCGCCATCGCACCCGTCGGTCCGACAGGAGCGTGTGCAGCGTGTGCCGCCCCATGATGTTGCGGCGGCTGTGGCGCCACCGCTGACGCCACCGCCCCTGATCCGGTTCCTGCTGCCGCTGCTTGTCCCCCCCCTACGGGCCTAACAGGCCAGGCAACCTCCCCACTCGACACGAGGTCCAGCAGCTTGACCTCCTCCTCCTGTGCGGTGCTATCGTAGTAGATACGCGCGTGGTGCCGCGCGGACGTGATGTCGTGGTCCAGCACGGTGCCCTCCCACCAAGTGCCGTCCTCGGGCCACAGCAGCGCCAGGCGGCGGCCCTTGAGGTGCGTGTTTCGGAGCTCCATAACCGTCATTAACCGCCGAGCTGGGGAGGCGGCTGCAAGGTGAGGAAGCACGCAGGCGGGCTGGAGGCGGGGGCCTGAAGGTACCGTACAGATCGTACGGAAGCCGAGGGAGCCCGTGCTATGACGTAATAGGTAATGTGGTGATGTGATGTGTGATGGTGGGTGGGATGAGGGGGAGAAAGCTGTGCCACGCGTGTCATGTGTTTTTTTCTTCCACCGGAGGACTTCACCGCGTACACATCGTGCACGGCATCACATGGCATGGGGAGTTGTGGGCGTGTAAAGACCAACTCATGCCCAGCCGTGTGCACCAATGTTAATGTGGATTGAGCTCCGTGGCGTAGCTCATCAATGAGGTGTGGGGTGAGAGGTGTGGGGTGAGAGGTGTGGGGTGAGAGGTGTGGGGTGAGAGGTGTGGGGTGAGAGGTGAGAGGTGTGAGGTGAGAGGTGTGAATTGTTTTCTGGGCACGTGTAGCGGACACCCCACTACCACCACTACCACCCGCACCCCACCTGCTCCCTTCTTGTCCTTCTTCACAGCGGGGCTCTTGGCACCCGGTGCACTGAACTCCCCCGAGCTGCCGGCTGCCGTACCACCGCGACCGGCGCCTGCCTTGGCGGCGGGCTTCAGTACTGCCCCACCTGCCGTACGGCCTGGGGAAGGGGGAAGGGGAAAGAGAAACACGGCGTCTGGTGGATGCCGGGGGCGGTAGAGGGGCCGTTCGGGCACTTACGCCAGAAGATCTATCCAAGGTGGTGCCGTACATCGGAGGGGTGTGAGCAGGGGGAGAGGGGTGAAGCACGGGGGGTAAAGCCCCACACGCTTGAGGGGGGGAACAGGTGTAGATGTCGCCTGGCGCTATCGCTGGCACCTGACCCAGCCCAACCGGACCATGGCCAGGCTGGCCATTCACAAGTGGCCATTTAATCTCCTGGCCCCCTACGTAACGTAGCGCCTGAAAACCTCCCCCCCCCCTTCCCTCCCGCCCCCCCACAACCTCCCTCCCCTCCCCTCCCGCATTGCAATGCACTGTACGGCAAACCATAGGTTTACGCCCCCTAACCCGGGGGCCCCCTGCAGCTGTACGACACACCCGGGGCCCTTCCGCTGGTGTGCTGCTGCGCCTTGCTGTGCTGTGCCGCCGCCCTGGGGTGGGCCTGCAGGTGCTGGGTACGGGCAGCCGCCGCCGCCGCCACTGCCTCTCGGCTGAGCTTCACCTGCCGCTCGGCCTCCTGAACCTATGCAGGGGTGTTGGTAAAACACACACACACACACATACATACATATGTACATACATCCGTAACTACATACAGCCATACGACCCTGCCATCTCCTCTTCCACTCACCCTCAACAGTGGCCCCCCCACCGGCTGATACCCCCCCACCCCACACCGTGGTGGTCCTGGTCTTAGGAGGGGTCAACGAAGCGGCAAACGAATCATTATTGCTCCGGTACCGCGGGGCGAGGGGGTGCAGGGCCCCCACCCCTCGCCCGGGGCGTCGCTGATATGCCGCAAACACCCGAATCGTGCCATCGTACCCCACCCCACCCCGGCCCCTATGTCGCATATACATATATACATACATATACACATACATATACACATACATACATACATACGCACACGCACCTGCTGTAGCGCCGCATTCCTATTGATCTGGTGCGCCTGCGCCTCCGCCCGCATCTGCCCCTCCAGAAGGGCCTCCTGCTGCTGCTGACTCGCCACCTCCTCCCGCAACGCATTCAGGCGGGCCTGTGTGGTTGGCGGAGGTGGGGGGGAGGGAAGGGGGAAGAGAGTATGTGTACGGTGCTGATGGTGGTGACCGGGGTTTAGGGCAGACGGGAGCGGAGCAGCGGACGTGCGGCACTCGGACGTACGACAGTGTTCGGGGCATTGGAGCATTTGTAGGTCGGGTCGGGCTCACACTGGAGGTGGAGGTTGTGGCGGTTGAGGTGTAGTGGGGGGGGTGCCACCTCCCTCTCACATAAGATCAAGTCCGGTCGGGTCGGACCAAATCTTTCCGGCACACTATTCAACACCAGCAAATTGAGACAGACACACATACACACATACATCAGCGCATGTCCTGCCCCAACGCCGTTAGCCGCCGGGCTTCTGCCATGACCACACACCGGGCTAGGAACTACTTCCCACCCCGCCCCCGTCCCACCCCACCCCACCCCGCCCCACCTCACCCCACCCCGCCCCCATCCCACGCCACCCCACCCCGCCCCCATCCCACCCCACCCCACCCCGCCCCACCNCACCCCACCCCGCCCCCAACCCACGCCACCCCACCCCGCCCCCANCCCACGCCACCCCACCCCGCCCCCG